TGGTCATACGTGTGAGGTAAAGTGATGGCGAGCCATATGTAGAATATCTTTGGTCGATCTTGTGAACTAGATGCGTGGGCTGTCCTACCCAGGGCTCATGTCCACCAAGAGAACGCTACTCGGACAATTTGTGTTTACTAATTTTATTTTTCAACTTTCGTATTCTAATGTTCAGACAACATTGTTTTGTTTTTAACAGTCGTATAGAGAGCCAATCGCTCAGAAAGCAGGGGCAAACTAATGAACATAAATTTTCCCCTCCCCCTACATAAAAAGGAATCACGAACAGCTAATAACGGATGGAGTTGGTTCTGCGACGTCCTGTAAAGGATACATAGCTAACTTGTATTATAGCGTTTGACCTTCTGGGTTAGGGCAAGTTGTTTATTTGTTATTATTATTATTTTATTTACTGGAGCTGGATTTGTGTTTTTCAAATGACCTTGGCTCTCAGAGTGACCTAGCCTTAAATGGGTACCAGGTAAAGTCATCGGAAGTAAAGGCGGCCGGTGTGATGCATGCCGATTTGTCTATAAATTATAGATCTAACCCTATATGCCCAATAAGCCTGAAGACGCGGAAAAGGGTCCTTACTCTTTTTTATATGTTTGTTTGAGTATCCAGAAGCCATGAGTTGTTAACCCTTAGGCTCGGTATTATGGATATCGCAACCCTTCGGCCTTGATTCCATGATAAATATCGTAAATCTGGGAGAAATGTGGCTTTTCTGCCTACCCCCGGGAGTGACCCGGACCACAAGGAGCTCGTCACCCGGTCACCGCGCAATCCGGTTTAGCCAACTACGCTAGAGAGCCGGGCTACTCTTTTTGTATATTATTTATTACCAGCTGTCAATAATATCTGACTGGTGGGAATGTTATTAGGCAGTGATTCCCAAAATGTGCGCCGCTGCGCCCTGGGGAGCCACGACCTCTTCACAGGGTCGCCACGAAATATTGTAAGAGCTTCATAATTCATTTAACCAAGACACGAAAAGCCATACGGTTGCTTAGGTTAGGGCGCCGTGGAAATTTTTTTAATGAAAAAATGCTCCGTGACCAAAAAAAAAAGTTTGGGACATTGTTATAACGTAATCGCTCATCTACAAAGCTACCGTTTCGTGTATTTGACTGTAGATTACTCAATGAATTGTCGAGACCGGTTACTGAAGTACACAATAATACTGACGAAAGACAATGGTCTCTTGCAAAAACAAAAAACAAAAAAAACATTAAAAAATGGGGGACGTCAAAGTTCTTGTAAATTCATACCTGTGGTAATGTATGTGACACCAATGATGTGCTGGAAATAACTCATTCGAGCAAATAGTAATGGACACTACTTTGTTTTATCCTTTTTCGTGCACTTTTTCATTTATTTATGTTCTAGTACTAGTGAAGTTTTCAGTTAGTTTATATAAACACCTACACACACATATACACACAAACAAACACACACACACACACACACACACACACACACACAAGTACTGAAATACGGGAGCAGCTGTGGCGTAGTCGCTAGACGTTCGCCTGCGGATCGGAAGGTCCTAGATTCGGGTCCTGATTTAGTCGAATTTTTTCAAATGTGACCTTTGCACCCAGGTAGTCCCAACATTGAGTGAGTACCAGGTACAATCCTGGGAAGTAAAAGCGGCCGACATGATGCTGACCACATCACCCACCAAGTGCCGAATGGTCCAGAACATATAGGTCTAGCCATATATGTCTAATACGCCCGAAAGTGTCTCACTGAAAGATAAAGAATTCAACCATTCTTATATCAGAATGGCTTTGTGCTGACATCAATCACTACTTAGAATATTTCGCCTATAATATCGGGTGATGATGATAATCATGTTGACACACAGCCGGCAGTACTGCTAATCATTTATTCAAAGCGATTGTCTTCCATATCAGGATCCCACATTTTCTGACATTCATCTTTCTTGATTCATCATCTGACCACTGTCTAGTCAGGTAAAGATGAGAGGAGGATCGACTTCATTGCACCGGGTTTGATCCCATATGGCTGGGTCTCTCTTCGCAGAACAGCTAGCTGTCTAACGACAGGAAATAAGTGTCACCTTCCATCTGGTGGCTTTACAGAACGGCAACCAAGCAGCAATAGGGCACCAGCTCAGCGATCAGCACGAGGTAAACCAAGCACCAGCAACAATCACCTAAAACCCACAGATATCAGCACTAAGTGAACTGGACCAGACCAGACCAAAAGACCCCAAGCAACACACCAGACTCAGGAAGTAAAGAACCGGAATATCAGGTGTGACTACACACCACAAATAATTGAAAACCAAATAAGATAGCCAAGGAACCTTCCTTCATATAGCAAGCCTCCGGGCAGCTAAGAAAGAATCAAATTTGGAATTTTTTTGTTGGACAACTGGAATTGGAATAGGACTGTTGGAAAGTGCATGAGTCCAGAAAGCTGACGATAGTCCTGGTATTCTGTCAGGCAGACCGTCATGAGAGCTACGTTTTATAAAAGATCTTCCCCATGTCGATGATTATTTAGCACACAGATTTATGGTAACAAGTAGGACACAGTGTGGCAATGCATTATTACCAGAATGAGTCACAAGGAGTGAAGACAACAACATACTATGTGTGGATTTCCAATAAATATATAGTGAATTTCGTGATATTGAATGGATTACGTTAGCTGAAAATGAATAATCCGGTCGCCTTCTGACTTTTGTTGCTTTCAGTGCTTTAGAAAGTCCTTTCAAGCTCGCGCTAAACCAAGAATGTATTTATGTTACTGATGTCACAGTTATTGTTTTTACACTTTCAGGCAACTTGATCACAACCAGATCACTTGCTTATCCGACGGAGCCGTTCGTCATCTTAAAAATATGGAGATCTTGTAAGTATGTTTTCTGTGGTTCAAACTTTATATCAATAAACATAGGACAAATTTCTCTACACCCATATTTTATGTACCGATGTGTATATTTTTTTCCGCTACTAATTTAAAGCTGGGTCGACTTGAGAGCCTGGGTTCATTATTAGAATCAGCTCCGACTTATTTCAGACATAATATTTTCGAGCCGGCAGTCAGGAATCCAGCTGCGGTTACCATGTGCTATAGCTACTAAGACTTTATGTGCTTGTGTGGTCTTGATTCTCTCCAGGGACCCGCAGTATCTTTACTAATGAGAGTCCCAAGCCCTAGTAAAAGACATTCTGTAGAATTGAAGAACGAAAGTATTTTGGAGCATCATATTCTGAATCTGACAGCTGGTATATAGAGAATGTCTGGGAAATGGCACAGTCGTCGCTTCGTGCTATTCCTCTGCTTCTGCTTTCTATTCTTTTTCTTTATTCTTCTTCTTTTTCTTTTTCTTCTTCTTTTTCTTCTTCTTCTTCTTCTTCTTCTTCTTCTTCTTCTTCTTCTTCTTTTTCTTCTTCTTCTTCTTCTTCTTCTTCTTCTTCTTCTTCTTCTTCTTCTTCTTCTTCTTCTTCTTTTTCTTCTTCTTCTTCTTCTTGTTTTTCTTCTTCTTCTTCTTCCTTCTCCTCTTCCTTTTTTTTTCTTTCTTTCTTCGTTTTTCTTTCTTTTCTCTTCTTTTCTTCTTCTTCTTCTTCTTTTTCTTCTTCTTCTTCTTCTTCTTCTTCTTCTTCTTCTTCTTCTTCTTCTTCTTCTTCTTCTTCTTCTTCTTCTTCTTCTTCTTCTTCTTCTTCTTCTTCTTCTTCTTCTTCTTCGTCTTCGTCTTCTTCTTCTTCTTCTTCTTCTTCTTCTTCTTCTTCTTCTTCTTCTTCTTCTTCTTCTTCTTCTTCTTCTTCTTCTTCTTCTTCTTCTTCTTCTTCTTTTTCTTCTTCTTTCTTTCTTTCCCCTTCTTCTTTTTCTTCTTCTTCTTATTATTATTTTGTCTTTCTTTTCTTTCTTTCTTTCTTTCTTTTTCTTTCTTTCTTTCTTTCTTTCTTTCTTTCTTTCTTTCTTTTCTTTCTTTCTTTCTTTCTTTCTTTCTTTCTTTCTTTCTTTCTTTCTTCTTTCTTTTCTTTCTTTCTTTCTTTCTTTCTTTCTTTCTTTCTTTCTTTCTTTTCTTTCTTTCTTTCTTTCTTTCTTTCTTTTCTTTCTTTCTTTCTTTCTTTCTTTCTTTCTTTCTTTCTTTCTTTCTTTCTTTCTTTCTTTCTTTCTTTCTTTCTTTCTTTCTTTCTTTCTTTCTTTCTTTCTTTCTTTCTTTCTTTCTTTTCTTTCTTTCTTTCTTTCTTTCTTTCTTTCTTTCTTTCTTTTCTTTCTTTCTTTTTTCTTTCTTTCTTTCTTTCTTTCTTTCTTTCTTTCTTTCTTTCTTTCTTTCTTTCTTTCTTTCTTTCTTTCTTTCTTTCTTTCTTTTCTTTCTTTCTTTCTTTCTTTCTTTCTTTCTTTCTTTCTTTCTTTCTTTCTTTCTTTCTTTCTTTCTTTCTTTCTTTCTTTCTTTCTTTCTTTCTTTCTTTCTTTCTTTCTTTCTTTCTTCCCCCTTCTTCTTTTTCTTGTTCTTCTTCTTCTTCTCCTCCTACTTGTTCGCATTTGCTTCACCTTAGTTTTCCAGGACATTACCTGGTACCCAATTGATACTGTATTAGAAAAATAAATCTAAAAACTCGGTCTGTGTGGCGAAGTAGTCAAGCCGTTTGCCTCAAGGTCTGGAGTTCGTGGATTCGTTCCATGAACGCGTCGCTCAGTTGACGAGTTAACGATTTTATGAAAACCACTGGGGATGGTCGCTAGAGACACGAAGTTCGTGCTTTGTGCGACGCTCCCTGCAGGCGGATAGATGTTTTAAGCACTGAAAAACGAACTGTATGGGATAACGTGGAGCAGGCATGTCGATTATCTAGACTTGAACTTTACATTTATTTTAAAAGCAAATATTATATATACATTTTCTAAACTATATATATATATATATATATATATATATATATATATATATATATATATATATATATATATATATATATATATATATATATATATATATATATACTTTCGCCTTACAGAACATTAAGCAATAACAACATGACGTCAGTGCCAGCAAATCTGTTCGACAACATGAGAATGTTAAGAGTTCTGTAAGTAATAGTTGGTGTGTGTTCGTCCTGTGCCGTTTGTGAATTCCTGTTCTCTCAAGGGTTCTCTGAATTACCCCTGTTGTTGCTTTAAATGTGTCTGTAACAGATCGTTGTTACGTTGACAAGATGTCTCTTTAATTAATTGTGCCTGTAACAGTTATTACCTTTTTACCTCATTACCTTATTTGTATAATAACCCTATTTGCTTGACTATCTTATTTACCTTATTACTTTTTTTTTTTTTTTTTTTTTGCCTTTACCTTGTTTGCCTTATTACATTTTTTGCCTTATTGCCTTGTTTGCCTTATTAAATTTTTTGCCTTATTACTTTTTTTCGCAATGGCCTTGTTACTTTATTACCTTTTTGTTTTTTACCTTATTACCTTATTTATTGTAATACTTTATTACCTTATAGACCTTAAAATCTCATTATCATCATGTGCCTTGCCAACTGGCGTAGGCGCTCATGAGTCTCCACAAATCACGATCTCTGGTTGCCCGGAACAGCTCTTTTGATATCCCTCCATGCCATCGTTTCAGCCCATCCAGCATTATCTCTTTCTTGGTCTGCCACTACCCCTCTTTCCACTGATATTTCCAGTTGTCTTGATGTTCTTCAATGTCTCTCTTCTCATTATGTGGCCAAAGAACAGTGTTTCTTATAATCTGATTTAAGCAAATTACCTTAATTACTTTATTATCTTATTTTACCTCACTAACTTGTTTAGCTTATTTCTATATCCCTATTTTCCTGATTCACCCAATTCTCAGATAATTTTTACTGTATCGCTACCCAGTCTACTATTTTCCACGCTTTTAGGCTTACAGGGTTAGACGAGCGGTCCTCAACCTATGGGTCACAACCCTTTTGGGGTCGAACGACCCTTTCACAAAGGTCCCATAAGACAATCGGAAAACATATAGTCACTGAAGTTATGAAGAAGCATAAAAAATAATTGTATGTTGGGGGTTACCACAACATGAGGAAGTGTATTAAAAGATCGCAGCATAAGGAAGGTTGAGGACCACTGGGCTAGACCTATATTTTATAAACCAATGGACACTCGATGGGTGATGTGGTCAGCATCGCGCATGCCACCTTTACTTCCTATGACTATACCGGGTGCCCACTCAAGGCTTGGTCGACCTAGGAGCATAGGTCATTTTTTAAAACACTGTCCACTTTCGTCAGGATCCAAACCCACGACCTACTAATCCGCGTCTAGGCGCTACACCACGGGCGCTCTTATCGACTTGCAGAGCGCCTTAAAATGAGAACACAGATGGAAGTTTGTGTTGTTGTTGTTGTTGTTGTTGCTGTTGTTGTTGTTGCTGTTGTTGTTGTTTTTGTTGTTGTTGCTGTTGTTGTTGTTGCTGCTGCTGTTGTTGTTGTTGTTGTTGTTGTTTGCGTTCACTGGCTATAAACTCCGGTGGAATGACCTGGTTGTTCGTAACTTTTTGGACTTTCACTTTGTTCGAAGACCTGATTTTTTGCGTGCGTATCTGTTTTACAGATCAGACTTATCTGTAAGCAGATTGTTGGCTCCTTGTCTCACAGGCAGATGTACTCTCACTTCAAATAAAGCTTACAGTTAGTCTACTCTTACGACATGCTTGTTGGGGAACAGATGAAAGTGAAGCATACTCATCTTGTTTGTTCATGTCCACCAACCCACGCCACTCCATTCCTTCCTCCCAGCACTTCACTCATGTCAACAAAGGAAGATAACACGACAGGAGTAGGTGGTGAAAAACAGAATAATCAGGAAGGATAGATAAGCAGTCAGACAGACGGACGGACGGACGGACGGACGGACGGACGGACGGACAGACAGACGGACAGACAGACAGACAGACAGACAGACAGACAGACAGACAGACAGACAGACAGACAGACAGACAGACAGACAGACAGACAGACAGACAGACAGACAGACAGACAGACAGACAGACAGACAGAGAGAGAGAGACAGACAGACAGACAGACAGACAGACAGACAGACAGACAGACAGACAGACAGACAGACAGACAGACAGACAGACAGACAGACAGACAGACAGACAGACAGACAGACAGACAGACAGACAGATAGACAGATAGACAGATAGATTAGATAGATTAGATAGATTAGATAGATTAGATAGATTAGATAGATTAGATAGATTAGATAGATTAGATAGATTAGATAGATTAGATAGATTAGATAGATTAGATAGATTAGATAGATTAGATAGATTAGAGAAATAAATAGATAGAGAAATAGATAGAGAAATAGATATACAGACAGACAGACAGACAGGCAGGCAGGCAGCCCGACCGACCGACCGACCGACCGACCGACCGACCGACCGACCGACCGACCGACCGACCGACCGACCGACCGACCGACCGACCGACCGACCGACAGACAGACAGACAGACAGACAGACAGATAGACAGATAGACAGATAGACAGATAGACAGACAGATAGATAGATAGATAGATAGATAGATAGATAGATAGATAGATAGATAGATAGATAGATAGATAGATAGATAGATAGATAGATAGATAGATAGATAGATAGATAGATAGATAGATAGATAGATAGATAGATAGATAGATAGATAGATAGATAGATAGATAGATAGATAGATAGATAGATAGATAGATAGATAGATAGATAGATAGATAGATAGATAGATAGATAGATAGATAGATAGATAGATAGATAGATAGATAGATAGATAGATAGATAGATAGATAGATAGATAGATAGATAGATAGATAGATAGATAGATAGATAGATAGATAGATAGATAGATAGATAGATAGATAGATAGATAGATAGATAGATAGATAGATAGATAGATAGATAGATAGATAGATAGATAGATAGATAGATAGATAGATAGATAGATAGATAGATAGATAGATAGATAGATAGATAGATAGATAGATGGGTAGTAGATGATGGATAGTAGATGGATAGTAGATGGATAGTAGATGATGGGTAGTAGATGGATAGTAGATGGATAGTAGATGGATAGTAGGTAGATAGTAGGTAGGTAGGTAGGTAGGTAGGTAGATAGATAGGTAGACAGACAGACAAGCAGAAACACACTACCACAGAACCAACCCGAGATTTGTCAGCTTTACTCTCTTACAATAGTACGCAAGTGTAAGTTTGTCTTCACAGTGGCTCATGTTTGCTGTGCCCTTTTCTCTGTCTCAAATGTATCTAAGCTATTATATTATAGTAAGTTATCTCAACCCTTTTGTTAAACGTCACTTATCGTGGGGATTCTTAGCGCCACAGACGCCAGCCTTTTCCTAGCGAGATTGTCACTTTATGGCTGGCTGTCTAGTCCTTGTTTTTCAAAGACTTCATGGTTTAAGGATTTAACTGATATTACGTTTTTTGTCTCCTCTGTAATGCTAAATAAATCCGTTTGAAATCGATGATCTTTACGTCAATATATTCTTTACATAGCCAGTTCCTTACTTTCTTTCCCCAAGTGCCACTGATATAAAAACGCTATTGTCCTTAGTTTAAATTTACAAGTGTTGTCATTTGGGTGTGTGAAGTTATGTTAAGTAGGTTTCCTGTCCCCCCTAGTTTTCACCGCCATTTGCTTTCTTTGACAACGAGAGCTCTCGCTGATATCAAGTTTTGTCCCATCTAATGCTAAATAAATCCGTTTTAAATCGAAAATCCTAGACTTCAATATATTCTTTACATGACCAGTTCATTACCTTCTTTCCCCAAGTGCCACTGATAAAAAAAAAAGCTATTGTCCTGTGTTTAAATTTACAAGTGTTGTCATTTGGGCGTGTGAAGTTATGTTAAGTAGGTTTCGTGTCCCCTAGTATCCACTGCCATTTGATTTCTTTGAGAACGAGAGCTCTCTGTCAAAAGACCGGATGACAAGATAAACGTAAGATCATTGTATCCAGATATATGCATACTATAAAGTTAATTATGGGATATTCATTCTTTGCCCCCCAAAAATGGACTATATAAACTAGGCACTGTTTATGAATTTCAACATGACACAAGATCGGATACACGTTAGAACGATATGCTGATAAAGTTTCAGCACAGCTATAATTTCTCATGTTTATTTTGAAATAAATGAAATATAATTCTTAAAGTAAGATGTCGTTTCCTTTCTTTTTGTTTGTTTTGTTTATGAAACGAGCATACAAATGTTGTAATAGCAGCAGCAGAGTAATAGTGGTGGTCTTGTTGGTGGTTGGTTTGATAGCAATATTAGTTTCAATGACACTAGTAGCAACAGGTGGTGGTGGTGCGGCGGTGATGGAGGTGTTGTTGGTGGTGGTGACTGTTATTGTTGTTGTAGTTTTGTTGTTGCTGTTGATGCTGCAGTAGAAGTCGCAGCAGCAGTAGATGCTGTTGTTGCAGCTCGCTACCGAAGTCTTGTAATGTATCTGTGTATTTAATTAAAAGCTTTGGGGGAGGGGGGGGGACAGTAAACTTTGATGTTACAAATAAAAAGTCTACTGTATGTAAATCAAATTAACGACTGGGATCATAATTTTCTTTTTCAGCCGAATTAATGACAACAAGCTGGTCTGTGACTGCCACCTCGCTTGGTTTGCCAGATGGTTACGCAGAAATCCAACTTTGGCGCTTTTTACAGAGTGTCACCTGCCCCTGCATTTACGCAATGCCGAAATCTCGGAGCTTCAAGATGACGACTTCAAATGTGATGGTACGTGAAAGAACTGTTTGTGAAAAACATTTTTTTATATATATATATTGAACGGGTGTGAGTGCACACGTATATGTGAGGGAAAGAGAGTGAGTGTGAGAGACAGGGGGAGAGAGAGATGCATTTCTTTAAAAGATAATAAACAGACTAAGAATAAAGCTTAAAACAATAATGCGAACAAACAAATTTATGTTTTATAGGGTTAAGCATTGGGTACGCAGGCCCAGAATTATGCCCCTTTAACCGTTCTTCAGTTTAACCGTTATTTTATTCCCACCTTTTCTAACGGATAATGATCGACAATAGCTAAATATTTACTACAATATTTGCAGTTTACCTGAATTATGTCCACATTTTAAAAAATCATAATCTTTAGTATAACAACTGCAATAAGTTTAGAGGAACTTCTCAAGAACTTGCCTGCACGGTGAGAGTTCCTTCCCCTCCCATACATGCCGCGGCCGGTTGCACGGCCTGTCCTGTGTTATAGGAGTGTTATGAGATAGTTTCGTTCGGCGTTCGCTCATCGTATACAATCTTCTTCTTCGCGTTCACCCACTGTAAACTTCGGTTGAAAGTTCTGGTTGTTCGTCCAATTCTGGACTCTACCCCTGTTCCAGAAATTTAGTTTTGCTTGCACACCCGGTTGGAGGTTGTGTTGTCGTGATTCTCAGATGCACTGCAAGCGCCTACGTACAAGTAAGAAGTACTGCAGGGGTATATATATATATATATATATATATATATATATATATATGTTCCTTGGCGGTGCCCCCCCCCCCCCCACCACATAAAAAGAAACCACTACAAAGAACGTCTGGTTGACCATGTTCTTAGTGCACTTGTATCCATGGTGAGGCGCAGACGCCGTCTGGAGGTTCAATTCCCGGCATGGTAACTCTAGCTTTCGATTTTTATGTTGTCTAGTGTGTTCTTTTATCTTTCTACTTCTTTTTATGAGTGCCGATCAATACACTTTCTTTTCCTTGATTAATACAAGGAACGTAGAAATACAAAAAAAAAACATTTTAGTTTCGATACTCATGAACCGTCGGCCAAGTAGAACAACATGGAAATAATCATGAAAGTGAGGGGTGACAACACGAGAAAAGCGACAACAGTTCAACCGTGGACAATAAGGATAACATGACACCCCATCAACATAGGACAGTCCGTACGACCCGCCGCGGCTTCATTGTGAGGGGAAGGAACTCTCGCCGTGCGAGCAGAGTCGTGATAAGTACCAGTTTAGGATAGATTGTAATGGCACCTTTCCATCTTTTCAGGGGGCCTCCGAAGTGTGGCAGTTAAACGCTTGCCTGCGGATCGAAAGGGCGTGGGTTTGGGTCCTGGTGGGGCCAAACTTAAACAAAAATGACCCGGGCACCTTGGTCGACCTAGCCTTAATTTGATAACAACTACAGTCCTGGAACGTAAAGGCGACCGGCGTGATGTTGACCACATCATCCACTGAGTGTCGATTTGTCTGTAAAATAAAGGTTTGGCGGTATAAACCCAATACACCTGAAGACGAGGAAAAAGGTCCTTTATTGCCTGCCTATTGTTTTTTTTTCCTCTTCATGCACTGCGATCCATGACATCCCGTTACTATGGATCCACCTCAGTGCTGGCATTATTAGTGTCCCGTTTGCACCCATCTTAAGTCGTAGCAGACGCCGACCACTACATTTTCTACCCTTTTTATATTTCTTCTTTCTGTCTTTCTAGCCCCAGTGGAGCATAGGTCCTCAACCAACTCACGCCAGGTCGTACTATTCTTCGCTATCGCCGTATCCTCCCAAACTTCTTAACTTCATTATCTAATTCCCTTCTTCGTCTGTTTTTTTTTTTTTTTTATTATTATTTTTATTTCTATGCCTCTGTAGGTTCCTGTGCAAAGATATTGTAGTTATATTGTTCTCAGGTTTTCTCAGCGTGTGTCCTATCCAACACCAGCTTTTTTTCTTCGCCTCTTGTTTAATACTCCCCTAAAACTTTACATTAGTGATTCTTTTTAATTCACCGTAGAGACTTTACCAAAATTCATCCCCCGAGTGCGTCCGATTGGTCTAAGTCTCTGAAGAATGAGCAGGGAAGATACGCTGTAGGCTTTCTATAGAAGGAACTAGAAATTGTATGCTCGAGTAATTTGAACTATTAATTAAGTCTGTGTGTGTATGTATGTTTTCAGCGACATTTGAGAGTCGACACTCGGTGGAATGCATGGAGGAGACATTATGTCCTCGCCAGTGTCGATGCCTTGATGCTGTGGTGGACTGTCGGGACAAAGGCCTGACCCAGATACCAGAGAATATTCCAGAATCAGTAACAGAAATGTGAGTATACTGTAACCAGAGGATAACCTGCTTTTCTTTAATGATGCAACGTTAAGTTTAAACTATTTGACCGATTAGTTCCTTGACTGATTGATTGATTGTTTGTTTGATTGACTGGCTGATTGATTGATTAACAGATTGATTGATTCCTAATCCTATTTACGGTCGCCAGCTATAAAAGTCTGAAAAAAAGTTTTGCCTCTATTCGTCCGTTCTTCACATTCACTAGCTGCAAACTCTGACAGAAAGCATTGCTTGTTTGTACTTTTCTGGACTTCAACTTTCTTCCAATACTTAAGATCTGCGTGCACTTTTCTTTCACCAGTCCAGCTTATTTGTATGCAGACTGTTAGTCGTTTTCCTATCCCTGGTCCTTGAGGGTGAAGAGGAAGAGAGCTGGGAGATACCAAGAGAGGAGATACTGGACTATATCCGCATATCGGATCATTTGTTTCAGATACGATTGAAAGTAAACGAGGCAAAATTGTAATTGACAGTCGTGCCACCAACACCACATGGCATGAACTATAAGATAAAAACCACTATATTCGCACATTTTCAAGCTTATAGCGAAAACGGGAGAAAGAGAGAGTGAATGAATGAATGAATGAATGAATGAATCAATTCAATCAATCAATCAATTCAATCAATGAAAATTAGACATGCTGACCTCAAAGATTCACTCTCCTGATGACTCCTCCAGTAAAGAACCTGTTGAGATCCAATATGATAAACGAAAAGCATACTGTGTCATTATAGAGCATCTTTCACCGCCCACAACTGGGACCTACTTTGTACCATATATTTCCTGTCGGCTGGACAGTTACTGTCACGAAGGGAGATGTCCATCACGGATTCTGGTCAATCCTGGTCAAGTTATCGGTCCCCTGAGCGAGTCTTAGCGAAAGGCGCCGTACTGTTATCTTAATTAATTAAATTGTCGGCCCTTGTTTCCGGTTCGCTGTTTGTAAGAGGAATTTAGTAGATAACATCAGTAAGAGTTGAGTTGAGTTGAGATGAGTCAAGAATTGACATCAGAGCAGTCGGGGCGTTCCCATGTGTACTCCGTCCTCATCTTCAGCAGCCAGCGCAGAGTTCCAATACTGATGGTACCGGTAACAATCTGGATATATGTCCGTCTTGCCTTCCCTCTGAGTGTAGAGTATTTGCGAGATTTCCTGGCCACCCCCTGGCACCATTCTCTCCACACCGTAATTGTCTGTTCGTGCTCGCGAATTGTTTACTTGTCTGACCACGTAGAAAGTAGTCATGCACGCGTGTGTGTGTGTGTGGCGTGGCATCGCGTCGCGTGAAAGTAACAGCTCTAACGACGCTTACACTTCCCACTACCAAAGAAAAAAATTATTTTACTTATTATTATTACTGTTTGCTGTTTATTAGAAATATTGATCTGTTTACGTCTCGGAAACAGTAAAACAGCACACTCGCTGCAAGCTTATGTCACTACTGCAGAAACTACCTTGTAAAGCTACCATTTACTAGTACGACGATGCTAGCTGCACATGCATATTCTAAACAGTGAAGCGTGGAGGAGGACAGTATCACGTGACGCCCTCTCCAGTGTGATCATTACCTGCTACTTTTGACACTTGGAACTGATCACTCCCCGCCAGAGGAATAATTGTTGTCTTACCTATTAGTTGATTAGTGAAGTATTCTCTAGTCATTTCTATCCCCAGAATGAGATAGATTGAAGAACACTGGTTGATTAGACAAGCGCATAGTTAAACAAGACTAGCAGCGCTGGGTATAGTCATAAGCTCGCTACAGCTCAGGGCCTCACAGTTTGCAGAGGGCTTCAATATTTTTGTTTATTCACAAATACAGTTTTCTTTTAGTAAATCCTTTAGGATGATTTTTTTGTTTTTTATATATCCAGAAACTATGAGTTGTTGACCCTTTTGGCTCGGTACTATGAATATGGCAACCCTTCTGCCTTGATTCCATGATAGATACCGTAAATCTGGGATAAATGTGGCTTTTCTGCCTACCCCGGACCACAAGGAGTTTGTCACCCGGTCACCGCGCAGTCAGTTTTAACCAACTGAACCGGAATGATTTTATAATATAATTTATGATCTCTTTCAATAAAAATTACAATGCAATGTACTTACATCATCCATATATTTAAAAGGCAAATACTTTTTTTTTTTTTTACTTTTTTATTTTAAAGCCTTCCTAACTCCAGTCATCCCCTTGATGGATGCAATTTTTCGTTATTTTGAAGCCCTACACTGGCTCTTGCCTGGGGCCGCAATATAGCCCGGCCATAAATATGGTCTAATGGCTGAACGCGGTTTTCGGGACCTCTCCACGGGTGATCCTCATCCACATGGTGGCAATTTGTGTCATCGGGTGTTTATCGCTTGTGTGATGTTCTGGTGGAGTAGAAAATATCAGTCAGTCAGTAAAGGTTTCTGAGATCAGCTAATGTAAACAGTAAAAGTCTCAGGGCTTTATATCACTTAGGGCCTCACGTCGTCTAAATCAGGCCCTGAAGGCAAGTCAGATTATTCTGTTTTGCTGTGTATTTCAGCCGTCTTGAAGACAACCATATAACACAGATCCCATCCCGAGCTTTCGCCGATTTGAGCAGCCTGAAGAGAATGTAAGTCCCATGCCTACTTGTGTTGTGTGTCGTGTCACTAACATTAGCTAATTATGTTCGAGACAACATGCCATACGTCATACGGTGAACAGTGACTGCAACCTAAAATATGCCATGTCTATAACCACTTCTTTCTCTTTCAACTTGATGCCAGTGGCTGTCGGATTTGCACACACGCACATGACCGCACACACATAAACAAACAACAGACACTCACAAAAAACATATAAACTTGTGGTTTCCTACTATTTTTTTTTTCAGGTGGCACTGCCCTTCAGTATATGGCATGAAACAAACCCCCCATCTTCCCTCCCCACGACACGTAACAAAATGTGATTTTTTTTTTTTAAGAGGAAGTAAATGTTCTCAATCTACAATTAGTCGGCGTCTGTGACTTAGGCGTTGCAAACGCGCTTCGTTGGTTTCGACAGTGGTATTGAGAAGCCGATCGTCTCGAAAGCAATGGCAAATTTCTTGACGTAAATTTGCCTAGCAAAATCACAAGAAATTGCTGGGGTTGGTTCTGCAACGTCCTGTAAAGGATATGCAACTAATTTTTAACTATAACTAAATGCACGTGTTAACATGCTTATTTGATTGTTAACGGTAGATGTACAAAATGCTCAGGAAAACAAAAAGTTCATTGACATTTTTGTTTTATAAATAGTTTTAAAATAGTTTATTTCTAATGAACCTGGAAATAAATTCATTTTCGAAATTGCTAGACACCCAATTGGAACTTCCTCCCCGCGCCCCCTTTTTTTCCTTTAGCGCCCCTTGGGGACACCCCCTTGTTGGAGACCACTGATATAAATGAAAGAGGTGATGTATAGGCCGGCTCTGCAATTGCTGCAACAGCCTCACATTGTTAAAGTCCTTAGAGAGGTAGAAGAATAGGAGGATTTTGAACTTAGTGTGTCTGCATTGCTGCTAAAAATGCACGAATTGTGAGTTAAGACTGGTCACGCCCAAGTATGAACAGCACACCAGGCTGATGAGAGGTCTTGTCAACCAGCTTAAAGCTGCACAATTAACCGTGGGACGCTGATATATGTGTTGAAAAGTGGGGGCAGAGGGGGGGAGGGGGTTTGGGCGCCCATAAACTTTTCCGCAATGCCGTAAAGGTAACCCAACCCATTACTCAATAAACACAATTACTTAATCACTTTTTTTTTTTCTTAAAAAATGACTTTAGGAGTGGCTCCCATTTTGATCCAGCCTTAAATGGGTACCAAGTACAGTCCTGGGAAGTAAAGGCAGCCGGCGTGAAGTTGACTACAACAGCCACCCAGTTCCGATTGGTTTATAAAATATAGGTCTAACCAGATCCGTCTGTATATAAATAGAGAAGGACGTGGTCTAACCATATATTTCCAATACGCCTAATGGCGTGAAAAAATGTCGTTTACTTTTCTAGTAAATGACTTGATATAATGGAGGAGAAATATGCTACGTGCTGATGCATGTTGTGAACGGAGAGTAGGTTACATCTGTTGTGAATGAAGAGTATGTTACATCTGTTGTGAATGGAGAGTATGTTACATTTGTTGTGAACGGAGAGTATGTTACATCTGTTGTGAACGGAGAGTATGTTACATCTGTTGTGAACTGAGAGTATGTTACATCTGTTGTGAACGGAGAGTATGTTACATCTGTTGTGAACGGAGAGTATGTTACATTTGTTGTGAACGGAGAGTATGTTACATCTGTTGTGAACAGAGAGTATGTTACATCTGTTGTGAACTGAGAGTATGTTACATCTGTTGTGAACGGAGAGTATGTTACATTTGTTGTGAACGGAGAGTATGTTACATCTGTTGTGAACTGAGAGTATGTTACATCTGTTGTGAACGGAGAGTATGTTACATCTGTTGTGAACGGAGAGTATGTTACATCTGTTGTGAACTGAGAGTATGTTACATCTGTTGTGAACGGAGAGTATGTTACATTTGTTGTGAACAGAGAGTATGTTACATCTGTTGTGAACGGAGAGTATGTTACATCTGTTGTGAACGGAGAGTATGTTACATCTGTTGTGAACGGAGAGTATGTTACATCTGTTGTGAACGGAGAGTATGTTACATCATAGACCTATTCTAACTGTCATTGATGTGTTAACTCACAGGAAGGGCTAGTTTGTAGTGGACATGAAGCACATGATCATAGTTCACAGGTCCACTAAAACATAAAAGGGAGCCAGGTAATGTCATAGGAAATGAGGACGGCTGGTGGAATGTTGACCCCATCATCACTCGCCTAACAACATATACCCAATACGCCAGTGAGGTGAAAGGGGTCATTTACATTTACAAACTAAGCACACAGACCAGTCTAACATTCTGATACTTCTTTTAACAAGTCACAAACATCACCAGCAATAAATACATCCTAATTAAAAACGCTAGAATGTTCTCAAATTATAACCACATGTCTAAGCAATAGTTCATTATTAGCATAGCAATTGTAATAAATATAGGGAAAGCATAGTTTTCTTACAAATATAGTTTTTATTTTATTTTATTCCAAAGAAAATGTAGTCTCTACTGACAGGGAGAGAGAGAGAGAGAGAGAGAGAGAGAGAGAGAGAGAGAGAGAGAGAAGGACATGTTAGTTATCTAGATACGTGAGTACAAATTACCAGTATATGTATGGAGAGAGAGAGAGAGAGAGAGAGAGAGAGAGAGAGAGTGGATATTTTGGTCGTCCACATACGTCAGTATAAAGTATCTGTATATATTTACGCACACAGAGAGAGAGAAAGAGAGAGAGAGAGAGAGAGAGAGAGAGAGAGAGAGATTGTGGCACAGGTGATTAAAGTATACTGAATATAGTTCTAATGACTCTTCACAGAGACTTGGGCAACAACCAGATATCTTACATCGCCCCGGACGCCTTCTCGGGTCTTAATTCTCTCAGCTCACTGTAAGTAAACCGTTGTTTCGTTGTTGTTGTTGTTGTTTTTCCCGCTTATTTCACTATCACCCTTATTTTATTTTGTCTTTTCAACAGACATTGTTTGAGAGAATGTGAAATTCGGTTTGTAGTTTTTAAATGAATCTGAGGTTACTAATTCCTTATCTTCTCTAGTCGTCGATATAAGCTTCTTCTTTGTCTTCGTCTTTTTCATCTTCTTCTTCTTCTTCTTCTTCTTCTTCTAGTGCTTTTCCTTACTCTTCTTCTTCTTATGTTTCTACTTCTTCTTCTTCGTCTTCTTTCTTTCTTTGTTTCTTTCTTCTTTCTCTCTTTTTCTTTCTTGCTTTCTTTCATCTTTTTCTTCTGCTGCTGCTGCTGCTTCTGCTTCTGCTTCTTTTTCTTCTTCTTCTTCTTCTTTTTCATCTTCTTCTTCTTTTTATTCTTTTTTATTATTTTTCTTCAGCTTCCACTTTTCTGTTGTTCAGTTCTCACACCTATCAGATTGTTCTCTGGGAGTTTCAGGATAACATCTATCCTTCCCAAGTAGTTTTCTTTTTTTTTTTTTTTTTAACCTTTAGAAGCAAATGCTTCCTGTATTTTAGTGTGCTCATTGTCCGTTCAGAAGCATTTCTGGTTGTGTTATTTGTGAGAATATTTTCGCTGCCTTTCAGTGTACTTCGTTTAGGATGGCAGTATTAGTCTTTTTGCTCATAGGGGATTTATTTTACATACTTATCACGTCACCTGATGTGTGCTAATCCATTTGTTCCTAAAAGTTGCCATATTTCTGTCGTTTATATGTTACTATTTAGTTCTTGACGTAATAATCTTTACAGCACTTTGAGCACATTGACTGAACCTGAACTGCTATCCACTTTGAAATGTGTTTATTATTGAATTATCTGAGTTGTATTTTGATGTGTAGACTATGTTAGTGTCTGTATTTAAATACCTAATTGTTCGTTATTTTAAGAGTTCTATATGGAAACAAGATCATGGACCTCCCACCTGGAGTCTTCAGTGGTCTCAAGTCCTTGCAGCTACTGTAAGTATCAATTATATCTACAAACTACAAACCTATAATTATAACATTATGCACCTGTCTGTAAATAATGTCTACAGAAAAAAAAATTAACTGTCACCCGAAAATAAAAAAATAAAAAATTATGCAGAAATTGAAAATTTCACAAACTTTCAATATTTAGGCTGTTCAAAAGAAGTTAAAAGGAGAATGGCCATAACAATACAAAGATTGAACCGCTTTATTAGCAAGGATATCAATGTTAAAGTTTTGAGAGTATGCATCTTTCCGGTAGCAACATACAAATGTGATCCGTGGACTTTCTCATAGTCCCTAAGGGATAAAACAGGGACTCTGCAGTTTAAATGCTATACAAATATTCTAAGAATACCTTAGACAAAGAAGAAAATACTGACATTCTAAACGATCTGAACATTAAGGAACATTAGCTAATAAACATCATCTTGTCTCGGAAGCAGAAATATTTTGGCCATATCAAGTTTAAAAGGGAATTGGATACAAATAATAACAGAAGGCGTGGTACCAGGAAGGAGGGACAGGAGCCGATCAGCACGAAGATGGGTACTGCATATACGTGACTCCTTGGATAGGAAAGCGCACGAGGCGGAATAGCTGGCGAGAGACTAAGTTCTTTTAGGAAGACTGATGAGAGCGTCGTTCTGCAAAGAACCTCTACATGATGATGATAATATGTCTTTATAAGAAATATCATCATCCTCTAGGGCCTGATGTGTCACATAGGGGTCGCCGCCTAGATCTCCATTCCATTAAATCCTGTGTTGTTGTCACTATCATGGAAGACATTCAGCCCAGCGACTTTAGCCTCTATCTCATCAACGTTTGTTTTAGAGCTTCTTTTAGAGACCCTCCTTTCCTCAGTCCATTTATAAGAGGCATACAGAACGATCTACACATCAAATTATCGAAATCAGTCGAAGGGATCTTCGCTGCAGACTGATTTCGTGAATAAATAAACAAAACACTTTTGTCTTTCCCATTCAACTTTTTCTTCTTCTTTTTTTTTTCGTTTTCTTTTTCTTCTTCTTCTTCTTCTTATTCTTCTTCTTCTTCTTTTTCATCGTCTTCTCCTCCTCCTCCTTCATCTCCTCCACCTCTTCTGCTTTTATCTGAAGATGTAAATGCGTTGTGCCCGTTTACAGCACGGCTGCGATATTCGCGCCTTTCGGCTGACACATCTGACTTCTGTAGGCTTCTGTTGACCGGCTTAGCCTTTCCGACATATTCATACAATTGCAATTAATGCAGTTATAAGAATCAACTGACTTATTGTGATAATTATTGCTGTTTTTTTTTTTTTCTTCTTCCGTCGTTTCACTGATACCAGATTGTAGCACAGTGTCGTGGTTTTCTGTATTGGCTTGCGCTTCTCGGGTGGCCTGGGTAGTTTATTTGTCATTGTTTTTGTAGGTTTCAGCTACACCGTTTTTCCAAATCTTTCTTGATCTTCCTTTCGCCTTCATCGCAGATGGTCTGCGGTAACAAGGATCTTCTGTGGCAAGGCAGGATCTTCACACGATGTATAAGCTGGAACAAATTATTGTATAAATAAATGAACGGACGAATCAATGGGCAAAGGAATTAATAAAAATACGATTGTCTTGCATTGCCGTGTGTTATGTATGTGCTACATGTTTTGTTTCAATATATCGGTATTTTCATATCGAAACGTTACTATATCTTTCAGACTACTTAATGCCAACAAATTAAGCTGTGTACGGCAAGATGCTTTCAAGGATCTGTCGAGCCTGAATCTGTTGTAAGTAATCAGTCAATCAAAAGCCAATAACTAGCCTTTATTAATGTGTAAATGGCATGAGTGCATTGTAGCCAACTTCTCATAGGAACAGTTAGTAGGCGTACATTAATATGGCTGCTGCATAGGAAGACTGATCTCGTATAGAGATGCTCAAAGTCCAGTAACGTCTGTCCACTGTGATAATTTCAGATTGGCGTTTTCTTGTCCAGACGTTGGCAATACCACAAAGTAGCACGTGTGCCTAATTCTTGTTTTGAGAAAGAACATGTTTGAACATTCGGTAGCGAATAAAAACTGTGCAGCTGTATACAAGCAATGCTTCATTTTGACCTATTTGGATTGAAAATTCAAATGTCTGCCTTGGTATACTGTAAATAGCAAGTTATATCCTGAATATGTAAGCAAAGTAAAGGACCCATTTTCATGCCTTCGGGCGCAAATGACATATAGGGCTAGACCTATATTTTAATGACCAACAGCACTCGTTGAGTGTCAACATCACACCGGTCGCCTTTACTTCTCCTGACTTTACCTAGTACCCCATTTAGGGTTCCATCGACATGGGAGTCAATTATTATCCCCCCAAAAAGTCCAGTTCTGCCAGGACCTGAACCCACGGCCTTCGGATCTGCAGGCGAGCATCTAGTCACTACACGGCGGTGGCTTCCCCTGAATATTTACTTGCACTAAGAATCGTTGGCGTTGTATCGCCTTAAATCTGGACATCAGGGTTGTAATCAGGTTATGGAATTGTTCATAGGTCCGGACACGCACCCATTACGTCACTGAGACCATCAAAGAGAGATCCAGTAGTCTGCTGATATAAACGCCAGACTGGCCAAGGGTTAAAGACCATGATTTATCTGTTTACCTCACATGGTCTTAAAAATTTGTTAAACTATATTATTAAATCAGTTAAAGGAAACAGGTTGGGGGTGAGCTGGTTTTGGGTAGGGAAAACGGAAATTTCTGTGTAGTCGTCCAGTTCTGGACTTTAGCCTGCTTCCAGAAATTGAATTCTGCGTGCTCCTTCCGTTTTAAAGATCTGGCTCGTTTAATTGCAGGCTTTTTGTTCCTTGCCTCTCGGTCAGATGCACTCCGTCTTTGACGGCAACACCGGTGGTCTAGTAAGGTAAAATCTAAGAAGCGATGGTGGTATATGAAGTTAATGTACTTACAGGTTTGAAGTTTGAACAACGGATCAACATCATAAGTGCTCCGTTCTATTTCTAACTCAAGTCTGAGTCCGAAAAAACTCAGCACATCTCACAGGCTCTGTAGCACCAGCTAAGATCCTGAAATATTTTTGGTAGATTTTTAACTCAAAATTTTGCCCGGGCAGCACCGTTAGGCTACTCTTTTCAATTTCCAACTGCCAATGAACTTTTTGTGTGCGCAACAATGCACATGGGTTTCCGATCTCACTACACAGAGACCAGAGGGAATTGCTAGAAGTCCAAGTCCACGTGAAAAATCTCAGCCCTTACCGAGGATTGAACCCGGAATCTCTAGCACTCGAGTGGATACCATGCCTCTAGACCACGCAGTAGTGACCAAAGTTCAACTTCTATATTTGTAGGATCTTTTTTTTAAAACCAGGACAGCCCGGATTCGAACCACAAGTAACTGTAGTACTAGATAGTATTCTGTGAAGTGACTGGAACGGAAAGATGACGATAAAGGAAACTATACACACTATCTCATTATACCATGGACGAAATTATTAGAGACAAACATTTGGAACAAAAACAACTTTCACAGTAGGACTTTGTCATATCTCATGTAACTGCAGCTCTCAGTTTATGAAATTCATCATCACCATTATTATTACAACATGGAGACGAACGATGGAAAGTGACCTGAGTGCGGCATCTTTGACATGGAAAACTGCACTGAAGATTGCACAGGGCAGGAAAGCATGGAAAGTCCTCTCTGAAGCCTCATGTGCCACTAGGCATAAGGAGAACTGATGATGATGATGATGATGATGATGATGATGATTATGATTATTATTATTATTATTATTATTATTATTATTATTATTATTCCTTACATTTTACTTCTTCTTTTTGTTCTTGTTGTTGTTTTTCTTCTTTTTCTTCTTCTTTTTATTCTTCTGCTACCTCATTTCGTACCTTCTTCTGGTTCTGCCTCCTCTTCCTTACCCTATCCTCTTACTCCTGCTTTAACACCTTCTCTCCCTATTCTTCTTATCCCATTTTGTCTTTCTTTTTTTTTTTATGAAATACACACGCGATATGGAATTGATACCATCTGTTTAATCCTATGTTACTTTTACAGAATCAGATAATTTGAATTAAATCTCTATTTCTGTAAACTATAAGTTGCTATGTTTTAGTCGCCTACATGCTTTCAATTGTATTTAACTGTTTATTTCCCTAGATCACTGTACGACAATGAAATACAAGCTCTTGCAAACGGTACTTTTTCTCCACTGCTGAAAATCCAAACCATGTAAGTTTGCTTCTAAGGTTTAAAACGTCTAAAATTCCAAACAATGTAAAATAATTTTTACTAACAGTTACAACTATTTCTTCTTCTTCTTCTTCTGCGTTTGACATCAGTCATGCTAGACATTGAGTCCCGTCTGGGTCACATATAGGATTGTGCGTTTAAGGTCGCCACCGGTCCCCCATAGCTTCTCTTTCAATGTGGCTCCCTTGGGCCAGATCCACAATCTTTGCTGGGAGAGGTTAGTACTACAACTATTGAAAAATTAAGCCATTTCGTATATGTGCCTGCACGTGTGCGCGTACAGGCGTGTATGTAGATTTGAGAAGGTATATCTATGCTACAATATCTTGCCATATTAAGTCACTTTTTAGTCAACAGGACCGACCCAGATGTTCTTTCAGTCTGCCAGTGGTTCGTTTTCTTTGCCACAAGACACAGCAACACAACATGTGTAGCCAGTGCCCTGTGGTCGATTTTCTCAGCAGGATGCAAGTCTTCGAAATACCGCCCCTAGCTTCACACTGTCAGATCAAAAGTCTAAACTGTATTTTGATATAACTGCTAACGCCCCCCGCCCCCCCCCCCCCCCCCCCCCCCCACTTTTTTCACGGTGCCGACGCGGCCGCATTTCAGTATCATAGCACAGTACTGCTGTGTATTTAGCTCTCTCTTAGTCTTTGTTTGGTGTCTTTGTGGTACTCTGTGAATGTTCAAAGTATATTTGTTCGAGATATAGTGAAGATACATGTTAAACTCTGTCAGTACCACAGTTTCATTATGTAAACTCTTTTTGCCTTAGTGTAGCAGCTAGACTCTCCCCTGAGGATCTGAAAGTCACGGGTTTGAGTCAGCACAAGGTCGGATCTTTTTCAAAATAACTTTCGCTCCCAGGTCGATCCAGGCTTGAGTGGGTACCAAGTAAAGTCCTGTGAAGTAAAGGTGGTCGGCGGTGTGTTGACGACATCACCCACCATATGCCAATTAGTTTTTAAATTTAGATCCAGCCCTTCATGCCAATTCCGATTGAAGGCTAGGTAAAGTTTCATTAAAAAAAACTTTTAATACCTAAATGAAATGGTTTACGGCAGTTAAAGTTTACATTCGGAGATGCTAAAATAGGACAGAAGGAACTAGACTGACGGTTCGGAAGTAATGAATGAATGAATGAAACAATACAAGGTCCGAACAATATACTCTCTTGAAGTTTAATTTCAGGTCTACCCAGGCCACTTATAGCACTAGACGAGACAGGGTTACGAAAACCAGCATTTGAGAGAAAGTTGGAATAAGACCACATCTGGATTATATTGACAGACAAAGAATGAAATGATATGGCCATCTAGTGAAAATGCAGCCAGACCAGACTGCATATGAGAATTTTTACAGTAGAACATCTGGGAGGAAGGCGGGAGAAAGACCACGAAAGATATGGATGAATGGTTTCGATGAAATCTTTACAAACATGAACAAATTCATCACTCAAGCCACCCGAGAAGCGCAAGACAATACATAAAATCACGACACTGGGCTACAACCTGGCATCAGTGAGACAACAAAAGACGAAGACCCAGTCTGCCGTTAGTACCGCGAAATATAGGCAGCCGGTGTGACGTTAACTGATTTGATTTGATTCAAGAACCGACATTACAGCACTCGGGGCATTCCCATAAACGCTCCGTCCCCATCTTCAGCAGCCAGCGAAGAGTTCCGATACTAATGGTGCCAGTAGCATTCTTATTAAACGTCCGTCTTGCCTTTCCTCTGAGCCTCGAGCATTTGCCAGAACCTCTCGTCACTCCCTGCTGCATCAATCTCACCAGACTGTGGTGATCCATCTGCTCCTCCGAATTGTACACGCTCTCCCACAAGGCACTAACCACGTCTGCCCTAACATGTAGCAGTATTCCACCGAGTTGTGCAGAGCCAGCCAGTCTGTCCGCCTGTTCATTTCCCAACACACCGGGCGTGCCCCGTTAACTACAGTTACAAAACGACGAATGCTGCATCATATGTAAGGTACATCACTGGGCGTAAAAACTGTAAATCTAAAGATAAAATACGATATAAGTAACCAGACTCACAATTCCGGTATACTCCATTGATGCAACTATTTTCTTTTTTTTTTTTGTATTTTCGCGTTCACGGGATGTAAGCCCAGGCAAAAGTTGCTGGGTGTTTGTCCACCTCCGGAATTTAGTCTGGTTCCAGGACCTGAGTGTTGCGTGCACATCCGTTTCACAGACCTGGCTTATTTGTGTGTAAACTTTTGGTTCCTTGTCTCTTGTGTTTCGAAGAATGCCCTCAATTACTTGACTTCTACGACATGCTTGTTGGGGAAGCAATGTGTCTTATCTCGTTCCCACCTCTCCCCTCCCCCTCAATGAGGCGCCGGAACCCACACGGGAATAACAATTGTCTGAGATAAAAAAAAGTTTATATATATATATATATATATATATATATATATATATATATATATATATATATATATATATATATATATATATATATATATATATATATATATATATATACACACACATATTTATTTATAAAGAGTAACCAATGAGCATAGTCCCCAAGTGGGTTCCACAGCCCCAGTGGGGGAGGGGGTGCGAACAGACCCATTGCCTCCCTAACAAGATTCTCGTAAAAGTCGATTAATTAGGGCTGTTTCCTTTAGAGACAAAGTGGATCTGCCTGAGTGGCGAGGAATCAGCAGTCTGCCATATCGTTAAAACAGACAAGCACGCAAAACTCAAGTTCTGGAACAAGACCGAAGTCCAGAAGTAGACGAACAACCAGAACTTTCCACTGGAGTTTACAGCCCTTGAACGCCCCTTCCCCCTCCCTCCCCCCCCCCCCCCCCAAAAAAAAAAGAAACAAATAAGAGAAAGTGATGGTGAGTTGCGCTGAGAGACTTCAACAGCTTGAATGTATTTCAACAGTCACCTTGCCCGGAACCCGTTAATCTGCGACTGCAATCTGAAGTGGCTGCCTCAGTACCTGGAGAAGTACCCAGTGGAAACCAGCGGTGTTCGCTGTCTGACCCCAAGGAGAGTGAAGAGGAAGAAAGTCAGCCAACTTAAGCCTGACAAGTTCAAATGTAAAGGTACGTTGTTAACTGAGCCAGAGTTATTGTTTCACTTCCTCATTTACCACTTTGTATCAAGGGAGATAAAAGGTCGACTGTTCAATCTTGCCGTCTTTTTTAGGATGGATTTTTTCGTTATTTGAAGCCCAGTTATGGCTCATGCCAGGGGCTGCAATATAGCCTGGCCATAAATATGGCCTAATGATTGAACGCGGTTTCTGGGACCTCTCCACGGTGATCCTCATCCACACGGTGACACTTTGTGTCATTGGGTATTCATCGCTTGTGTGATGTCCTGGTAGGGTAGAAAGTCAGTCAGTCATATAGAAGGTTCTGCTTCTGGCTTTTTTTTTTTTTTTTTTTGGCTTCCTTGACCATAGACACACAATGCTGTTGTAGAGTTTCTCTGATGTTATCTTTCCATGTTGTTCTTGGTCTACCTCTTAATTTACATCCCTTTTCTCTGTTTCCTATCTGCCGTAGATAGTATGGCGTCATAAAGCATTCTCTCTAAGTGTGCACCTGGTGGGTTACACTCATGTGCCATGATGTCGATTCGTTGAATAAACACGAACATTAATCATACTTCCCGTCCTATTTAGGACGACATTTTTCGTTATTTGAAGCCCTACTCTGGCTTTTACTAGGGGCCGCAATATAGCCAGGCCACAAATATGGCCAAATGGCTGAACGCGGTTTCTGGGACCTCTCCACGGTGATCCTCATCCACATGGTGGTACATTGTGTCATCGGGTGTTTATCGCTTGTGTGATGTCCTGGTGGGGTAGAAAGTCAGTCAGTCAGTCAAACACAAACATAAACATCTAAGTGCGCACACCATTTGATTTGTTGTTTTTGTATGTAATGCAAAATTAATTCTTTACCGCCCTGTTCTCTGAAAAACCTTATTCCTGACTGTCTTTTTTTGGTCACTCCTGCAGGCCTTCTCAGGTATCTCATTCCCATTGTCACAAGTATCTTCCACTATTATATTCATGCTTACGTTAGTGGGCTCAAACGCTATTGTCTGTTTTATCAGAGCAGCCATAGTGCCTGAATCATGTTTTGTTTGTTTTTGAATTTGTACTTCAGTTGTAAAGGAATCAATTACCTGCTTAATTTATGTAATAGCTACTGTAGTATGCACCTGACGAGATACAACGAAAAATGCCAGCCAATAAATTGTGCAGTCTGTTGTTTGTATCTTCTCTGTTCACATTTACAATGCGGAAATATTGCTTTGATTTAATCATTTTGAGCAAATTGACATCTCTATTAAGTGTATCCTCAAAAGTTGCTGGTATTTGCCAACATACAGGATGTTGGACACATGTGAAATAAATTGCATCTTACCAGTTAAGTTACAGGACGTTGCAGAACCAACCAAAGCATTTTTGGCTGTTGTGGTTTTTCTAGGCATGTTTACGTCCAGTAGTTTGCCATTGCTGCTGGACGGTCGGCTTCTCCATACAACTGTCGAAACGGGCGCAAGGCCCGCAGCTGGGATCGAACCCGGCACCCCGGCATTACGAAGCGCGTTCGCAACACCTAAGCCTCAGACGCCGACCATCTTACCAGTACACGCAGAAAAAAAAAACTTGTCTTTTAACTGTATCTATGCGGTACCACCCAAATCCTCTATCGTCCAGTAACCAATTTCTGTATTGTAACCACTCCTCAGTTTGTAAACTTTAATACGTAACATTCGTTCCTTAAAACTCACAGTGATCTATTAACCCAGAAAATCTGAGAATTGTGCTAACACTTGATCATTGTAGATATGTGCTTCTACTGCACCCAGATCTGTCTCCAAGCTCTCAGATAAAGAACAGACAACACCGTCTAGGATATTCGCCGGTAAATTATTGGGCTTACATAATTATCCTTGACACGTTCTGTTGAAGTATTTGCCAGATCCCTGTAAATCACTGGGTAGACATTTTAAGGTGTCAGGTATTGTTGCAGGTCTGCTATCTCAGCTACTAGTTCTCTCCCCTGCCGAGTATACCTACACGTAATGAAGTCGGCTATTTCTCAGCTCTGTCAGCGGAAACTATAATGATTATCTAGGAATCTCTCCCCCCCCCCTCTCTCTCTCTCTCACTCTCTCTCTCTCTCTCTCTCTTTCTCTCTCTCTCTTTTTCTCTCGCTCTTTCTCTCTCCCTCTCTCTCTCTCTCGCTATTTCTCTCTCCCTCTCTCTCTTGCTCTTTCTCTCTCCCTCTCGCTCTTTCTCTCTCCCTCTCGCTCTTTCTCTCTCCCTCTCCCTCTCTCTCTCCCTCTCTCTCTCGCTCTTTCTCTCTCCCTCTCTCTCGCTCGTTCTCTCTCCCTCTCTCTCTCTCTCTTGCTCTTTCTCTCGCTCGCTCTTTCTCTCTCTCACTCTCTCCCTCTCGCTCTTTCTCTCTCCCTCTCACTCTCTCTCTCCCTCTCTCTCTCGCTCTTTCTCTCTCCCTCTCTCTCGCTCGTTCTCTCTCCCTCTCTCTCTCTCTTGCTCTTTCTCTCGCTCGCTCTTTCTCTCTCTCACTCTCTCTCTCTCGCTCTTGCTCTCTCTCGCTCTCTCTCCCTCGTTCTCTCTCCCTCTCTCTCTCGCTCTTTCTCTCTCCCTCTCTCTCTCGCTCTTTCTCTCTCCCTCTCTCTCTCTCTTGCTCTTTCTCTCGCTCGCTCTTTCTCTCTCACTCTCTCTCGCTCTTTCTCTCTTTCTCTCTCTCTCTCGCTCGCTCTTTCTATCGCTTTCTCTTGCTCTCGCTCTTTCTCTCGCTCTTTCTCTCTCTCTGTCTCTTTCTTTGTGTGTGTGTGTCTTTCCCTCCCTCCCTCCCTTTGTGTGCGACTTTCCCTCCCTCCCTCCCTCTGTGTGTATCTTTCTGCCTCTACTCTGGATATCTTTCAAGGAAATTGTATACAGGTAATAGAAGCTCACAGGCAGTGTTACACCGACAGTCTTTATCGTTCTTGTTTCTGAAACACCACAATCTGTAAATAATCTCACGAGTATTGTACAGAAGTTCTTACTCTACTTGGTTTCTTTTTTCTCTCTCTCTCTCTCTCTCTCTCTCTCTCTCTCTCTCTCTCTCTCTCTCTCTCCCTCCCTCTCTCTCGCTGTCTCTTCCTGCCCCCTTCCCTTACCCTTGTGTGTCCTTCTGCCTCTACTCTGAATATCTTTCAAGGAAAATGTAAACAGGTAACAGAAACGCACAGGCAATGTTACACACACAATCTATATCTTCTTTCTGAACCTTCCCAATCTTTCTACAAATTACCGAAGATCGTGCACATTCTTTACACACGGAACCGAAAAAAAGTGAACGACTTTGCGTGAGTTCGTTGAGGGCCTATGCTCCTTTAGAAGTTAGAAAGGCAGATGAAGAAAAAGTCAGACTGTCTTGGATTCAAGTGCTTTTTTTTTTATTTACTTAATTCACAAGCTAATACAAAGGAAAAGCTGAACGTGTGTGTTAACTGTTGTCTTCCTGTTTAAACAGCAAATGTGAATCAGGTCAACTATCGTTCATTCGCCTATTATTTACTAATCGTGCAACATGTCTGTTGTGTGTATGAATTGATAACCTGTGTCTTAATGGTTAGATACCACGTGTTTGGCAGATGATTACCTCTCTCTTAATGTTAAAAAGCAGGTGTGTGGCAGTTGATAACCTCTGTCTTAATGGTAAATACGAGGTGTGTGGCAGCTGATAACCTGTCCTAGTGGTTAAATACCATGTGTGGGGTAGTTGATTACCTGTCTTAATGCTTAAATACTAGGTGTGTGGCAGCTGATAACTTCTGTCTGATTGGTTGAGTACTACGTGTGTGGCAATAAATAACCTCTATCATAATGGCTAAATACCACATGTGTGGCAGTTGGATAACCTCTATCCTAATGGTTGAGTACTAGGTGTGTGGCAGTTGGATAACCTCTATTTTCATCGTCACCATCATCATCATCATCTCGAAACACTACTTGTCGGGTCACCAGTTTATGTTGGCTATCTGATCAGCTCTCTCTACCTTTGGCAGTTAGTTGCGACGGACTTTATGGCTGCATGCGTGGGGCCTGTCCAGTCAATCAGGTTCTGTAACCAGGTCTTTCTTGGTCTGCCTCTTGTCCTCTTTCCCTCTGCTGAGCCCTGCAGTGTGGCTGTTGGATAACTTCTGTCCTAATTGTTAAATACGACGTTTGGGGCAATTGATAACCATTGTCTTATTGGTTAAGTACTATGTATGTAGCAATTGATAGCCATGGTCCTTTGGGTAAAGTACTAGGTGTGTGGCAATTGATAACCATTGTCTTTTGGGTTAAGTACTAGGTGTGTGGCAATTGATAACCATTGTCTTTTGGGTTACGTACTAGGTGTGTGGCAATTGATATCCATTGTCTTATTGGTTAAGTACTAGATGTGTGTCGGCTGTGTGGCTAAGTCGATTCGAACGCTTCGTTGTGCCGGGGTACCGGGTTCGATCCCAGCTGCGGGCCATACGCCTTGCGTTGGTTTTGACAGTGGTATCAGGGAGCCGACCGTCCAGTAGGCAATGGCAAACTACTGGACGTGAATTTGCCTAGTGAAACCACACAACAGCCAGGAGCTGATAGGGTTCGTTCTGCAACGTCCTGTAAAGGATACGCAACTAACCTATAGCTAGGTGTGTGGCAGTTGATAACCATTGTCTTTTTGGTTAAGTACTAGGTGTGTAGCAATTGATAACCATTGTCTTTTTGGTTAAGTACTAGGTGTGTGGCAGTTGATAACCATTGTCTTTTTGGTTAAGTACTAGGTGTGTGGCAGTTGATAACTATTGTCTTGTTGGTTAAGTACTAGGTGTGTGGCAATTGATAACCTCTGTGTTAATAGTTAAATACCACGCGTGTTGCAGTTGACAATCTCTGCCTTAATGGCTTAGTACCCCGTGGGTGGCAGACAGAACTATTATTTTTACACGTTGTATTCACTAATCCAGAAACAAATGCAACCGCAAAGTTTGTGATGAGATCATTGGCTTTTTCCTTGGTGGTTAAATACCGCCTGAAGAGAGGGGAAGTCACACCATTATTGATGTGCCTTTTATTAACTAATCCAGACATAAAGGAAATTGTTAGTGTAGATGCAATCGCATTGTAATTGAATTCTTTGCCATTTATCTTATTAACAGCCGCGGATATTTCAATTCGTTAATTATTTCCTTGAAAAGCTCAAGTATTGGCTTTGTGTAGTTGAGTAAACGTTTAAAAATGCTGCTTTTCTTTTATGTATGCATCTTAACAGTTTGGATATCTTGTCTTTGTTCTTTCTTCAAACAGCATTTAGCAGGTAGATATGTGTATACACAACAAATTAAATAGAACCAGAGAAACAGAATTTAGTGGGGTTTATAAATGAAACAAAGAAGGAAACAGAAAAGTCAACTTTAGTTTCAATAAAGGTGATTAAAAAAATATTATAACTGGAGAGCCCGTAAAAGGAACACCAGCCTCAAGTAATTTACAGGTAATGGTCGATCATCATTACAGAACACCGCCAAAAACGCTATCGTTACCTGTAAATTACTTTATGCTGGTGTTCATTTTACGGGCTCCACAGTTGTAATTTCTTTTTAGGTTAAACGGGGTATCTGGGATGTGCCCTATTGGTTTACCGTCCAGGTTGAGACTCTTGAAGTCACATAGATGATCAAACCTTTAAGTAGCAATCAAAATGTGGAGCTATTCGACGACAGCACATCCTTCATGCACCTCACAGGACTGCTTGTCATACCAGGCTAGGGCACCCAAGCTAACCGCTACCCGTGCCCTAATTATGACGTCCTAGTTTAAAGTTGAATCACAGCACTCGGGACACTCCTGTCAGCGCTCCGACCCCATCTTCAGCAGCAAGCGAAGAGTTCCAATTCCTACGGTACCATCACTGTCACTAACATCTAAGTAGGCTGAACAAGGTCTCTGGTGTTTACCCTTTTGGTTCTCCGGGCAGCTTGTGGCTATTAAAGTCACATTAACGGTTACATTTTAATGAAGTGTCTTGAAGGAGAAAAACCAGACAAACTAATACATGGGATGTTCTAAAAATGAATTATCATGTGATTGTCGCAGGATCAGAGCATCATCGTACCAAGAATGCAGGAACGTGCATGATTGACTATGAATGTCCCACGGAGTGTGTTTGTGTTGGTACCACCATCGACTGCTCTAAGAGGGGACTCGTGGATATCCCTCAGGACCTGCCTATGTACACTACTGAACTGTAAGTGAACTAAAATTATCAAAGTTTTTTTTTAATTATTATTGTTATTTATGACGCTTCGTCTTTGTGGCCTCTTCGTCCTGTCTTCACTTCTGATTCTTTCTTACCCTGTCCCACCCCACCCAACTTCCCTTTTTACCCCTTATCTTGTTATCACTTTGTTGAAAACTTTTTTTTTTTTTTTTTAGCTTTTTCTATTTCTTCTTCTTTGTGTTTATTCTCTCCTTCTGCTTTTTCTTCTTCTTCTTCTTCTTCGTTTTTTTTTTTTTTTTTCTCTTACTCGTCCTCTAGGTAAAAATAAGAGAGCTCCATTGTAATATACAGCTCATTACTAACCTAGTGCCTGATCATCTCAACAAGTAATAAACCAGCATCTTATGTCCAACACGTGCAAGACGGAAACAAATATATTTTTGTTTTGTTTACACTGACCATCATCAAATGCCTCGCCGACAGGTAGCGGGGATCATACTTCTGCAAATCTTGGGATCTATAGTGCGTATCAGTTTGTATGCTGACTTCATTTCATGCAATGACAAAATGCCATCTTTGTTAGTCCTTATTAAATTATACCAGGTTATCTCTTCTGATAACATGAAACGAATAATTTTCTTTTGTACGGTACTTGTGATAAACATTCTTCTTTAAAACTTGTATATCACTCGTTTTGACTGTCCAATGAATTTTGAATATTCTTCAGTAAAGCAATATCTTACGGGTCATGAGACTTGGCTGCAACACTACACTAATGTGATCATAAGCAACATGTTTGAACCGCTTTCTCAACTCGTAAATTGTTTACTCTTCCCCAGTAAACTCAGCAGTAACAAGATCACACGGATAAAAGCTGATGGTTTATTTAAAAGACTGTCAAATCTTCAGCTGCTGTAAGTATATACACACTGTATAAATGTCTCTTTTTAAAAAACAAAATACTGTATTTTATCTTAATATTTTCTGCTATAGGGAGGCTGTAGCGTTTAAGTTAAGTGCCTACAGTTATCAAGAGTTATATAAATTAAATACTGCTATAGGAGCAAATAAAATGAAGGAGATGCGGTAACTGCTGCTTTGAGTCCCAGCCATCTAGTTTAGCCCCACTCCACGCGCGAAGCGGCGTAGGAGATACTCTCGGCGGTGGCGATAGTCGCTGGAAGTTAGCATTTTACGTTGCTGGAAGTCCGAAATTTACACGTGACTGAGGCCCTGTTAGGGTATATTTTCGGCCTCGATAATTTGAGACTGTTATTCTGAGGATAGCCGGGATATGATTGCCTAATTAGAAGGAGACAATCTACATTCTTTGGTCATATTACGAGAAGGAGAAAACGTTAGTACATCGTGACAGTGGGAAAGTTGAAGCTGAAGAGTAAACGATGCAGAAGGAGACCGAGAGAGAAGATACTGGACAGTCTGACATCATGACATGGAAGATCATCTGTGTTAGAAATTATATAAAGTACACCAGACAGAAAGTAGGTGACAGATAGGCTGCCAAACCCGGCGCTGCAGTGTAGTTGATAGCGTGTTGAATGTCGGATGACAATCCTCTGCGTGTCAGGTATCGGGCTCGAGCCACCGGGATGGCAGAGAAGCAGCATACTCCTCAGATTAATGGTGAACGTGGCGCCCAAGTGAGCTTTGATGCTCAAGACACTGAGCCAAATGAGCTATGCTCAAGTTTCTGTAGTTCTTCCCTCCACCCCCTACCCCCTTTTTCCCCCAAATAGACTATCAACGCCACACGGCATGGACTATAAGACGAAGATGGTTTGGGAAATGGCAAGTATGTATGACTAGCAAGATCTGCTCGCGCTAGAAGAACATCTTCCACAATATATATATATATAGAATGCCCGTTCGCATGAATCAAATCTTGATATATCGAGATTTGTGAAACGATTTCACTAACGCAGTAGAGCCGTAGACTTCATCATCATCAGTTCTCGTTATGCCTAGTGGCACGTGAGGCTTCAGAGAGGACTTTCCATGCTTTCCTGTCCTGTGCAATCTTCAGTGCAGTTTTCCATGTCAAAGATGCCGCACTCAGGTCACTTTCCATCGTTCGTCTCCATGTTGTTTTTGGGCGCCCCTGTTTTGTCTTTCCCTCTGGTGTCCATGTGAGAGCTGTTTTGGCAGGTATGTCAGAAGTCATTCTCATAACGTGGCCAAGCCATTTCCATCTTCTCTTGGTAATCATACTGTCTAAAGTTTCTTGGTTTGTTGCTTGAAGTAGTTTAGTGTTTGAGATTGTATCTGGCCAGACTTTTTTTTTTTAAAGATTTGACCTTATCTTTCAGGTCGATCAAGACTTAAATAACTACCAGGTAAAGTTCTGGGAAGTAAAGTTAGACGGCGTGACGTTTTCCACGGCACCCACCGAGTGCCGACAGTATAGGTGTAGCCCAATTTACTGAGTACTTTTGAAGGCTTGGAAAAGTCACTTATAGTCACTGCGGCATTCCGTTAGCTTGAGAACCATCTGCAGTCTGCAGACAAGTCTCCTGATTGTAACAGAAGCGTGTTGCGGAAAGAGATGTTCATGCTATCTGTAGGTTGTCAAGCATCGCGTTGGTTTCCAGTAGTTAACGTACTTTGGATCCTGACTTGCAAAATGAACAGACAGACTAGGAGATCCGCTTCTGTCCCATACTGGTCTGGGGATAAAAGCGGAGAAAAAATGCTGGGGGGGGGGGGCGGACGGGGTTAAAGTGATGCATGACAACATGTAGGTGGTTGAGACCCTTTGGGTGAAAGTGAACAATGCAGAAGCACGAATATATCATAGAGGTCTGGAGAGAATGGTGCAGCGGGAGTTAGGGGGGCGGGGGTGGCCAGGAGATCTGGCGGGCACTCTATAACAGTATTCTGCAACCCATTGGCTGCCGAAAAGTCTAGATAGTATGCCAAACATTTCTGGCTAATCACGAGACGGCGTAGGGCAGATTTTTATCTTCCCGCATTGTGGTCTGTAGGATTACCGCCTCAGTGATGAGAATCAAACAGGTACAAATTCCAGCAGCAGTAGGTGTCACATACGCTGAAAACTGTAATTTTGTGACATTGAATTTAACAAATAAACTGCCATCTAGGGGCTGCGTGGTCTCGATTCATAGTGTCTGCCTCGAGTCCTAAAGGTTCCGGGTTCAATCCCCGGTAAGGGCTAGGGGTGGGGGGGGGGGAATCCCTTGAGGGGGGGGGGATCCCTTGACAGGGAAATCGAAAAGAGTAGCCTACCAACGCTGCCAGGCAAATTTTGAGTTTAAAATATACCCACAATATTTTAGAATCCTCGTCGGCACTACAGGGCCTGTGCACTGTGCTGAGCTTTTTCGGACTCAGACTTGAGTTAGAAGAAGAACGAAGCACTTATGGGCTACTACCCGTGTGCCATGGTGTTCATCCGTTGTTCAAAACCTCAAACTGCCATCTACATTTGTATTTTGTTTCTGTATTTGGCAATGGCTTCTCGGCAGCTTTCCGTTAACACTTACCCCAAGTCCGATGCAATTGTTATTGTGTTAAAGCCCCACCCTGGCTGTTACCGGGGGCCCTAATATAACCCAACCTATGGGTTGAATGGGTTTTCTGGGACCTGTCCCCGGGTAATTAACATCAGAATAGTAGCATTTTGTTTATCGCACGGTGTGATGTCCTGAAGGGGTTGAACATCATCACTCAGTGTTTAGCCAGGTGTCAAATGGGTCACGAGACAATCTTTTGGCGGACCGTTAGTGTAAAAAGGTTGTGAAACACCGCTATAGCAGAAAGGCAAGGTGGATATATAATCAAACAAATACTGGTAGCATTGGCACTGAAACTCTTTGCTGGCTGCTGAAGATGGGGACTGGGCACTTATTAGGAATGTCTCGAGTGCTGCGAGACTGTTTCTTAACTCAGCTGAAGTGAATAAGAATTAACATGGTCCATTCTATCTCCCACGTAGAGATCTGAGTGACAACGAAGTCAATGAAATTGAAGATGGTGCATTTGAGAAGGCTGACAAGTTAACAGATCTGTGAGTAATTTACATGTTTTCTATAGACAGCAAACAGCAAGAAGCTTTCACTATCTGCCGAGACACATTTATGTCTAAATTTTGTTTCCTATGTTGCATTGTGAGTTTTATTTAGTAGCATCCATGTATGTTACAAACTACATTATTTAAATCATTTTCTTTTTTTAAATACCATGTGGAGACCCAAGAAAACTGTATTCTATTGAAGACAAAATCTAGAACCAAACATGGAATATGTAATTCTACTTTCAAATCAGTATTACTAATAATATCAGAAACATGCAGAAAAACTAAACAATAGTAAACTATAAATATTAATTAACTGTTGTCCAGAGAGATACTAAATTAGTTCACCTCTATGTGTAGGTGTCTGTATGAAGGCATGTGTGTTGTACGTGTGTCGCTCTCTCAGCTTTCAAAAAAAATTCGTCACGTTAGCCAGCATCCCCGAAAGGGGAGCTTTTGGTTATAATTGTGATTTCTGTTATTTGCGCCATTTTAGAACTGGCTTATAATTGCTCGCCACCAAGTACCTGTGAAAAGGGTTTTTGTAGTGTTGATACAATCAAAGATGACCAAATACTGTCCTGGTCGGCGACGAAGTCGTCTGCTGGTCGGCCAATTAGCGACCCGGACGCCGATGAGCACGTGTGAGTGTGCGCCCCTTACCCAATGATTAAAAACTTTTCTGTATTTGTCAAACTTTCGTTAGTTACCAACATGTTTTCTCTTAAGGCTACATGTAATGAATGTTGATCCAGTCCTACTGTTGACTAAGGAATAAGACATTTAATTACAAGAGATATGCAGTTGCTGAGAACTACTTTGGAGAAATATAACACAGAGCAAAAGTAAGACAATGCAAATTATGGGACAATGTTATGAGGAACAAATAACCTAGGAGGAGCAAAGACCAACTTACTCAGAAAGAGTGCACAAAAGATCTTTACAATGCCCCCATTCCTACCCCACCCCAACACTTTACTCTGTTAAATGGAGAAAGAAAAAAATAAGAAGAAGAAGAAGGAGAGGAGGAAAATAAGAAGTAGGAGAGAAATATGTTTACCGTGTGTATAACTCTGTTAGTCATTGTATTAATAATAGAGCATTTCATATCATGCCATTTTTTTACTGACATCAATCAAGCTTCCACGTTTTCTTTCTGCAGACAGCTGTCTAATAATGAACTGTCTCATTTATCAGCTAAAGCATTCCAGGGACTAACGAATGTGAAAACTTTGTGAGTATGAACATACTTGTTTTCACAAGATTTGTGATATGCGAAATATATGTAAATGCTAGATAATAAATGTACATAAATAATAGGTAACTGTGTGTAAAAACAATAAAGCTATTGGAAGATATAAAATATTGCAGGTTTTTGGTTGTATACGTTTTTCACATCCACACAAATACTAGCCCCTGTTATATATATATGTGTGTGTGTGTGTGTGTTTGTTTTAGTATCCAGAAGCCATGATTTATTAACCCTTAGGCTCGGTATTATGGATATCGCAACCTTTCGGCCTTGATTCCATTTTAAATACCGTAAATCTGGGAGAAATATGGCTTTTCTGCCCACCCCCGGGAGTGAACCCAGACCACAAGGAGTTCGTCACCCGCTCACCGCACAATCCGGTTTAGCCAACTATGCTAGAGAGACGGGTATATATATATATTATATATATATATATATATATATATATATATATATATATATATATATATATATATATATATATATATATATATATATATATATATATATATATATATATAGTTGAAACACAGTTGTTAATTACCTTGTTCTGTCTTTTGGTTGCATTATTTTAACTCATTAAAATTTTAAAATTCTTACTCTAAAGTGCACGACTTAGGGAGCAGACATTGTTGAAGAATCATCTGTCTGGGACTGCAAAATTTTAAATTAAATAAAAAGAAGCCAAAGAAGAAAAAAAGGAAAACAAGATTTTAAACATTGATACAATATCAATTATTCTTAGAAGTAAGTAAATGGGAGCCGCGGTGAAGTAGCGGCTAGACGTTTGCCTGCGGATCCGATCATGGAGTCAGGTGCTGACGGAGACAGTCTTTGTTTTAAAAATAACCCTGGCTCCCAGGTCGACCAGGCCTCATAGGGATACCAGGTAAAAGTCCTGGGAGGTAAAGATGATTGGCGGGTTGTTAACCACATCATCTACTAAGTGCCAGTTGGTCTATAAAATATAAGTTTAACCCTACATCATTCATCATCCTTTGTGAGCTATTAGACGTCACATAGCATTCACTTTTGATTCCTCCACTTCACTATGTTGCACGCAACTGTTTACATTTCTGACATGGAGTTCAGCCCAGTAATTTTTGCTTCTTGTCCCTCGGACATCCTCTTCTCTCTCTCTCTCTCTCTCTCTCTCTCTCTCTCTCTCTCTCTCTCTCTCTCTCTCTCTCTCTCTCTCTCTCTCTCTCTCTATCTATCTATCTATCTATCTATCTCTCTCTCAGACCATTTGTTTCCCATTTCAGTGTCTATTTTGTAATTCTTTGCTCATTTCATCTCAGAGTGCCCAATATATGTACACTGTCTTATTGAAGTCAATACAGGTATTTGTCCAGACATGCCTCTAATCTCCTCACTCTTTTTTAATTCATCCGATTTTATGTTCATGATTTTTCTCAGATATTTATTTTCAAATGTATAACTTCTGTTCCATATCTTTGGTAGTTCTTTCACTTTCGCTAGTAAATGTTACAACTGAAAATTCTAGTTTCGCCTTAAAGCTGTATAACTTGTAATTCGTTATTTTGTAAAGGTTTCGTCAATACGTATGGGGGTCTCTCTGGCAAAGTGGTCAAGCCGTTTGCCTCAAAACTCCTAATGTTGTGGGTTCATTTCATGGCAGCGCCGCTCATTTTACGAGTGCATTTTTTTTACGGAGATCCCTTGGGATCGTTGCTGGAACTACGGAGGTTGTGCTCTATGCGACGCTGGTGGCAAGCAGCTAGCAGTTTTGCGGAAAGAGACTGAGCTTTATGGGATAAAACCTGGTGCACTGAAATAGATTCTCTGAGCTTTACCTTTACCTTTGCCAATGCGCAGCTCAATTTCCTTCGTTGTAGTAGAACCGTAGTCAACTTGGCGAATGATGCCAGACTCGTATTTGTATGGACCAGTGACAATCAGTGGGTGATGTGATCAGCATTGCACTAGCTACCGTTCATACATTTATGTACCGTTTATATTTTAATTAACTCTTTCAATCCCACAAGGGCATAGCTAATGTCCAAATGAGTTAAGAATGACAATATAGGAAAAAACTCCACAGGGGAGCAAGTACAGCAGGTATCTACCAGTCATCAGTAGAAGTTATCCCTCGTCGACAAACGTTTCGGCCCACGAGCTCCTAGACGTTTTGAGAGAGTGGGCCCACCTGAGTTCATGAAGCTCAGGGCTGGTTTCCCTGCTGCACGAAATTACCGGATGGTGTTTTCTTTCGGATAGGAACAAGACAATATACTAAAATAATGGGTATACTACTTCCAGAGGGGCCTACTGTACCACCCTTGCAGAAAACATATATGTTGCCAGAGTTCTTCAGAGTTGTTCAATAAACTATAGATGTGAAAATATAACAACATGTTGATTTGCGTACGAGAAAAATATCCAGTCACGTATTGCGCAATGTTTGGTACAAAAAGGTTTAACATTGTCAGTCTAAGGAATTCCACAGAACTTTTTGCTATTAGGATTACTTTGGCTGTCTTGCAGGATGCTGCGTGGGAACAAGATTTCCTGTATTAACAATGCCACGTTTGCAGAAACTCACAGACTACGACTGTTGTGAGTATTCATCTTGTAGTAAATTACTTGGTGGGAATTGTATCTAATTAGCTCCATTGGAACAGTTATATACACTTTTATGTGAACAGGCAGATCTTTGTGTTAAAGTGTTTAAATTGTTTGCCTTGCATTCTGATAGTTATGTGTTCAGTTTTTGACTGTCTTTAGTTCTTCTTCTGTGTTCATCTGAAAATGTACTGGCGTTGTGCCTGTTAACAGCGTGACTGACATTTGCGCTTTTCAAAAAACACATTAAAGTCTTCAGGCATTTGTTGACTGAGGCAGCTTTCTTGAAGCCTTCGGTTCACGAGTGCCGGTGATTCAGGGGATGAGAGTAGTCATCAAGGAGCTGCATGGTTTATGCAATACTGTTAGTGTATAGTGAACAGCGTGTACAATATAAAACCATGTCTCTCACGTATCATCACTAGTGTTGTCATCATCATGTCGTGACATTCATTTACATCACATTCTGCTCACAGTTTAGTTGTCCATTCCGTTTTACGCTGTGCAGTCCTTTTGATATGACGGAGGGAATACTTTGGCTTCTCTTAACAACGTTTCTCTTTGATGTCCTCATTTTTCTGCCCATTTGTTTCCCATATCAGTGCCTGTGTAGTTATTCTCTGTTTCTCCTGTTGATGTGCCCAGTATATTGCCATCTTTGCACTGTTTGTTTTAACATAAAATATAACTTCATTAACATAACAGTACCATATATGTGATGTGTTGTATTAGATGGTATTGGTAGGCTATTGTATAATATAAGGTAGCATGGCTGAGAGAAGAATCTAGAACAGGATTGATCCAGAGCACCAAGGACAAAGATCTACAGCCAGATATGAACACCTACATGGTAATGGTAATTGCAGCTCCAACTTCATAGCATGAATAAATAAACAGTGGTGGCATGTTGAAACTTATGGTGCCATTTCAGTGATCTGAAATGAATTATGTCCGTATTCGATAGTTGTGGATTTCAAGCTGTACTACAGACATGGCCGATAAGACACCTCTGGGGGGGGGGGGGGGGGGGGACTAGTTGACCATGTCCTTAGTGCACTTGTTTCCATAACGAGGCGCACACGCCGTCCGGAGGTGACAGGTTCGATTCCCGACACGGTAACTATAGCCTAGATTTCGAATTGTATGTTTTCTAGTGTGTTCTTCTATCTTTTTACTTCTTTCTATGAGTGCCGATCAATACATTTTCTGTTACTTTATTAATATACAACTTCATAGCAAACCGGTCAATCTGTAGCTGCTCTTTCCTGTTCCAAAGAAGATCACACAGAATATCCATCACTGTTCCTTGTGAAAAAAAAAAAACAATTGGGGCAGACTGTGTCTCAGCAAATCCAGTAGCATACACCTGCATAAAATGTATGATACACCAACCAGAAGTGCCAGCACAAACAGTACGACACCTACATGATCTGATCTGACAAAGCACACAGTGAACAAGTGTGGGAACAAATTGAAAGACACACTGACAAAATAATAAGGAGGCTATGTCGGACGGAGGGTGGCCCACGAAGAAAACGTCAGGAAGATAAGTATAAGGTTGGGGCACAGACAGAAAGGCAAGGTCTAGCTCAGTGATTCCCAAACTGTGCGCTGCAGTGCCCCAGGGAGTTTTGACCTCTTCGCAGGGGCGCCGCGAAATATTGTAAAAGCTTCATAATAAATTTAACCAAGACACGAATAGTCATACTTTTTATTAGGTTAGAGCGCCGTGGAAAAATATTAATTGAAGAAAGGCGCCGCGGCCAAGAAAAGTTTGGGAAACACTGGTCTAGCTATTAGGATTAGATCATTAGGCCAAAGAAATGGTGCACATACCACACTATTAGCCACGCAAGTGGCGCAAAAAAAACAGACCACAAATATAACCAGCAGGTTGAACGTTGTCCAGTTTTTAATATTTTTTTTTTCTAGAATGAAACTGGAAGCACACAGTGATTCCAGTGAAAGTTATGCTGTGTAATACTCTTGTAGAACTGCAATCATCATGCAGACCAGTTTTTATGTTGATTACAGATCTAGATGAAAACAATCACCTGTGTGCTCGAAGACACACAGACACACACACACACACACACACACACACACACACACACACACACATGCACACACACACACACACAATTACTCATAATAGAATCTAGATGAAAACAATCACCTGTGCGCGCAGACACACTGACACACGCACGCACGCACACACGCACACACACATGCACACACACGCACACACACGTACGCACGCACACACACACACACACACACACACACACACAATTACTCATAATAAAATGTATTTTTGTTTGGTTTACAGATCCCTTTATGACAACCAGATTAACTGTATAATGAAAGGATCGTTTGAAAGGTTGCATTATCTGTCTACACTGTAAGTTTTTGCCACTTCTGTTATCATATCCATATATGCTGTGTGACTCAGAGTAGGTTTAATTAAGCATTGCTGAACTGATAGTAAATTATACATTGTATACAGACAAGTTGTCTTGTATTAGTGGGTGTTGAGCACATCATGTAGCTTTCTTAAATCTTAGAGGAGTGGTAGTCCACTATTTCTGACGGATTTTTAAATTATTATTTTTTTATTTACATTAGTTTACTGGTTTTGTGGGGGTTTTTTAAGGCAGTTTTATCCCAAATTGTTCTAAGGTAGATGTGGTAAAGATGCTTTGGAAGTATGTGAACAAAGCAGAAATTGTGAACAGATCACTGCAGTATAAATAGATAGATATGAATGACCAGAATGTTTGTTAGACAGTACCAAAAAGAAATGCAAAATATATCAGACTAGAACTTTCACTATTAATATAGGAACTCTTCTTCTTTGTCTGCTTATAAACTCACAATTGAATAGAGTCCTTCAACAAACTCATTCAAGGCTGGAAATTTAGACCAAGTTTACAACGGTACTTATCATAAATTTTTTAATTTTTTTTCAACATGATGCTTCAATCGAAACATATTGAGAGGCAGAACAGTAATATTCGCTATCCTAATTCGATAACACCTTTCTATAAATTTTGACTGACAATCAGCAAAAAGAAGACAAAGATTATAGTACAAAATGCCACTGTGAGACCAGCAATCATTGACGGTGAAGAGCTAGAGCTAGCTGACAATTTAACATAGACGGGACCCTTCGTCAATAACAAATTATCCCTGGACTAAAAAATCAACAACAAAATAGTTAAAGCAAGAATGGCAGTGAACAGAATTATCAAAAGAGTTTTGGAGAAATGAATGCTCATGGTTAAAACAAAAACCCTTGCTTATCAAGCACATGAATTCAACACTCTTTTGCTTGATAGTGAAAAATGGTCAGCTTACTTCAGCAGAAGAAACAGCTATACCGTTTTTATGTGTGTCTTTGAAGAAAACTTGGCATTAGGTTTCAAGACGAGATTACAAACACTGAGGTATTAGGAACAGTAGGTTGCACTAGGACTACAGTTTTCTTAATGTTCAGTCTAAGAAAACTTATGTGGCAAGGACAGTGGTCGGCTAAATCGCGGCTAGTGAGTCACATGCAGCTGTTTAGCCACCTGAGTGCGACTTAACCAGTTGGCCACAAATCGGTTTTGACTCTGAAAAACATGGTTCTTGAAAAAAAAAACATTGTTATCGTCCTACTGCTGATTTTTGGCTCTTTTGACTAATGAGTTTCCCGACCACACGACATACTTGCAGGAAGGAGGATAATAAAATCTCTAAAGAATCCTCTATAGTAAATTACACACAATTAAAATATGTCATGAATGGAAATTAGTAGACCCCATCAAAACAGTTTGATGACCTGGACTTCCCTGGTAATATTTCTTTTCAATCTCACTCATGGAATCCGATGCAAAATAAATTAAATATACCTGATGTGAGATCATAATTTTGTGGTCCAAAAAGCTATAAGGAAAAGACAATGATAAAAATAATAAACCAAGCAATTAAAAATCTTTTTTTCTTAATGGTATCCCACTCCAAGATGTGGAATAATGCACTTATTTGGACCAGTAATACAGATAAAGGTGGGGGGGGGGGGGGGGACCTGATAGGGGTATTAAAATACGAATACAAAAGGCAAGAGGAGCTTTCATAGCACTAGGGAATTTCTGGAAGTAAAGTGATATTAAAATCAATAGTTGGTTGTGAATTCCTTACAGGAGGTTGCAGAACCAACCCCAGCAGCCCCTAGCGTTGTGTGGTTTCTCTAGGCAAATTTACGTCCAGTAGTTTGCCATTGCTCCCTGGATGGTCGGCCCCCTGATACCACTGTCGAAACCAACACAAGGCGTATGGCCCGCAGCTGGGTACCCCGGCATTATGAAGCCTTCACATCGACTTAGCCACAGAGCTGACATCAAAATCAATACTAAACTTAAAATGTTTAATTCTAATGTGAAATCAGTACTGTTGTATGGAGCAAAAACATGGAGCCACTGGTGCCTGCGCAGAATAGAGGAAATTAAATGATATGATAGAATCACTAATGTTGAGCACAGGGAGAGAAAACTAAATAATTTCCAGTGGACCAAGAACTGAAGAAAAGACACTGGCGTTGGATAGGACACACGTTGAGAAAACCTAAGAGCAATATCACTAGAAAGTCTTTGGACTAGAACCCACAAATAAAGGCAGACCGAAAAACAAAAAAAACAAAAAAACATGGAGAAGGAGCTGGAGCGTGAAGTTAGAAAGATGGGAAGCGCTGCATGCAGTAAGGATAGATACAATGACTTAGTTGGAGGATCTATACTCAACTGGGGGATAAAAGGCAGAAAAAAATGAAAAGATGTCAGGGTTAGCCTTTACTGTGACTTAAGATGGAGCATAGTTATTAAGGTCGATTCCTGGGAACAGAATAGCCTAGATCGCATTGCATGGAGGGGGAAATTTAGGAAGTTAATGGGGACAAAGGAGAAAAGGATTGCAGACAGTCTGAGCTGAGCGTTTGAGAAGAAAAATATCAATTACCTGTGAGGCGACAGGGGTCCCGAAATCTCATGCACTTGTAGAAGATGTTTCTTTAACATAAGGTAGTTTTACTTGTCACATTCACCATATTATTCCCATGCATTCCTTTAGCACAGCGGAATACTGTCATCTGGAAAAATAGAAAGGTGTCTGCTAATATCTATAATTTTGTGTGTGTGTGTGTGAGTTTATATTTTGTTTATTAATTTCCAAATTCCCCCCGTGTGGGTCCAGGGCTTCATTGTGGGAAGAACAAGAGACTCACTGTCTGTCCAAAGGCATGTCGTAGGAGTCAACTAGATATAGGAAAATATTTGCCTGAGAGGCAAGGAACCAACAGTCTGCATGCAAATTAGTTAGACCTGTGAAATGTATGTGCACGCAACACTCAGTTTCTGGAACAGGACTAGAGTCCAAAAGTGGACAAGCAATGTAAACTTTCCTTTGGAGTTTACAGCTAATGAACACGAAGAAGAAGAAGAATTTCCAAATTATGATGTGTGTTAAGCCTTTTGGTCTCTGAAAGGTGTTATTTTGACTCATAATATTCAAAACATTTTTTTCAGTTGGGTAAAACAAGTCTGTATTGAAAGAGTTCAAATAGCAACACTATAGGGCAAAATGAGTTTAAATAAACTAAGTAAGTAAACGACTTTCACGCACCAGTGATGTATCTGGCATCTGATTCTAGACTTTCACACGCCAGTGATGTATCCGGCATCTGATGCTAGACTTTCACACACCAGTGATGTAATCAGCATCTGATGCTAGACTTTCACACACCAGTGATATATCAGGCGTCTGATGCTACACTTTCACACAACAGTGATGTATCTGGCATCTGATGCTAGACTTTCACACACCAGTAGTGTACCTGGCATCTGATGCTAGATTTTCACACACCAGTGATGTACCGGGCATCTTATACTAGACTTTGACACGCCAGTAATGTATCAGGCATCTGATACTAGACTTTATCACACCAGTGATGAACCATGGCATCTTATACTAGACCTTGACATGCCAGTGATGTATCAGGCATCTGATACTAGACTTTCACACACCAATGATGTATCAGGTGTCTGATGCTAGACTTTCATACACCAGTGATGTACCGGGCATCTGATACTATACTTTGACACGCCATTGATGTATCAGGCATCTGATGATAGACTTTCACACACCAATGATGTATCATGCATCTGATGCTAGACTTTACCACACCAGTGATGCATCAGGCATTTGATGCTAGACTTTCACACACCAGTGATGTACCGGGCATCTGATACTAGACTTTCACACGCCAGTGATGTATCAGGCATCTGAAGCTAGACTTATATTTTTATTGATTAATCAGCACTCCATGGGTGATGTGATTAATGACATGCTGACCAACTTTGCTTTCCAGGACTTTGCTATGTACCTGTTTTAGGTTGTGTCGACCTGGTAGCCATGGTCTTCTTTTTTTAAAGATCAGACTAGATACTGATTTGAACCCAAAACCTTTTTACCAGCAGTCAAATGTCTTACCGCTGTGCTACTGCGACTCCCATTCTAATAAATAACGAGGTGTAAAGTGCATTTTCGTTCAATTCATGCAATTTCCTGTACCAAGGTTTATGTTTGTTTTTGTTTTTAAATAAATTTTTGTTTCACATATTCCTGTCCCTTCAAGTAACCTGATGGCCAACCCATTTACTTGTAACTGCCATCTTGGATGGTTGGCAGAGTGGCTGAAAAGAAGAAACATCATCACAGGAACACCAGTATGCAGTGCTCCTCATGAAGTGAAAAATACGCCAATTCAAGACCTCAAACTCAAGGACTTTATTTGTGAAGGTAGGCAGGTAGCAGAAGGGATACTTTAAACTTGAACTTTTTTGTATTTTTGAGAAACAAATCTTCCGTAACCTTTTTATTAGCTCTTAAAGCCCCCCGTGTGGGTTCCGGGGCCCCATCGTGGGGAAAACAAGAATAGACCCACTGCCTCCCCAAAAGCATGTCGTAAGAGTCGACTAATTGGGGAGCTTCCTTTGAAGTCGGAGTGCATCTGTCGGAGAGGCAAGGAACCAACAGTCTGTATTCAAGAGAATGAGATCTGTAAAACTGATGCACACGCAACACTCAGGTTCTGGAGCAGGACTGCAATTCAGTAGTGGACGAGCAACCAGAACTTTCCGCCAGAGTGTACAGCTGGTGAACGCGAAGAAGAAGAAGAGGAAGAAGAAGCTCTTAAAGCACTCTTGTGTCACTGGATGTACGTCGCTCTGTGTGTTGTCCTGGTGGGGTACAACTAGCTTGGACCTGCAAATGCAATTAACTGTTTCCATACACACGAAGCCAAGCCTTCATATGGTCACCAGAGGGTAAAAGAAAACAGAGAAGACCAAAAGAAACTCTCCGTAGAACCATCACAAGGGAGAGCTCAACCATAGGTCTCAGTCGCACTCAAGACCTACATCAAGTGGCAACGAACCGACAGACGTGGAAAGCTATGACCTCTGCCCTATGCGCCATCTTTGGCACAAGAGAAATAACTAACTAACTAATACACACAAAAAATTATTACACAAGATATTTCACCAGCTTACACGTAAACTAGCTACCAGGCCATATTATACACCATGACTCAGTGCTGCACAAATGAAAGGATTCCACAGGAAAAACACAGTTCACAGTCCTTCACCAAGCACTTAACTCAGTAGCTTAGGTAGAGAAACTGTAGACTTCTGTCTATATATATGGAAACTGCATAAGCAAAGCATTGTCGGAAGCAAAGATAACTTTGAAGCTAACAATTATGTCAAGCCTATTCCTCCTTATTGGGTCAGAAGTGCTATTATATCAGTAGTTATCAGAAAAGGAAGAGGGAAATATACTAGGCATATCATGAGAAGAAGTGGGCAGAGAATCACTAAACAGACACTGAAACAGGAAACAAAATGATTGAGTAAATGAGGATGTCCAAAAGAAACTTTTAGATGAACGTTATTGAAAAAGACCAACGGTGCTGGATTGGATTTTAACAATGACACTGAAATGAATGCATGAGAAGAACAAAATGGAGGAGTAGACTGCAATCCCAATGTGACATACAACGACGATATAGGATGATGATGATGATTTGAATGATATAAAGCTGCTATTTCAGTTTTAATATTCATTAAGGTTATCACAGCAGGTGGTCCATGAGAGAGATAATTAATGTTGCAATTTATAAGTGTGTTACTTTAAAAAAATGTAATTAATGAAGTGGAAGTGGCCACCTGGGAGGCAGGATTTTTTTTTTTTCCTTCAGAAAACCCTAGTCAAAAGTGAAAAGTAAGAAAACCCATTATTTGGTTGTAAGGATTCTTTTTGGAAGAGCCAGTCATACTTAGGACTGAAAGAGTCAAGTGACTCTTCTAACAGTGTATGAAAGTTCTTAGAGAGAAGCCCTGCAGCAGACATGAAAACCCTTGGCATACTTTCAGGTTTCAATTATGTTTCAATGGTTTCTTTTAATAGCTGTTCGGTTGAAAATCTTTTGTTAGTCTTGTCTGAAACTACTTTACAATCTACTTTGCATTGAAACTGTAAGCAAGTTGCTTTAATTACATTTACTATTATTCTTCTTTTGTTTGCTTTAGTGATGCAAAATCTTCCACAGAAAATATTTATGCAGGTTTTGAAAAACTTTTTCAAAAACCACAGAGACCATTTAAATTGAACTATCAGTTCATTGCTTTATTCATTTCTAGCCTAGGATAGGTTAATTTATAATGTCCTGAGAAATAAAGATGGTCAGTATGGTTTTGACCTCATCACACGATTGGTTTATGAAAATAAAGATCATTATCTGTCAAATGTGCCAAAGGTGCATTACGGGTGCTTTACTTGTTACTTACTCACTCATAGAACAGCAGTGAAATTTCGACCTTTCAAAAGACAGATACCCTTGCAGATGTAAAAAATTTACAAGGGACTACCCAGTAGTATGCATGCAATAAAAACTTGCACTGCCGACTATTACAGACAGGCTCAAAGTTCTGCAAGCAAAGTCATATCTCAGGGTAACCGCAGACAAGAAGCACCTCCTGCGTGAAGCCCTGGGTAGAGCTAAGGGTCAGCGACTGAGAATAGTAAGGTCTTGGATGGGGCAAGCTGAAGACAAAATTAGACATGAGTGCGAGCTTAAGAATATTGGGTGAAGAGAACAATGCATCAAAGTGTCCAAACAACAAACTGTTACTGTTATGATCAAAACTAGAAATAGAACTCCATGCTGGCTGCTGAAGATGTAAGTAAGTTTTACCCCACAATGACATCACACAGAGTGACAAACACCCAGTGACACATGGTGTCACCATGCAGCTGAGGATCACCCATGGATAGGTCCTGGAAACCCTGTTCAATGGTTAGGTTATATTAAGGCCCCCGGCAACAGCCAAGGTGGGGCTTTAGAAAAATGAAAAATTTCATCCCATAAGGGGAGGACATAATTTTTAATGGAGACTCCTTTTCTAGGGGCAAATAACAACTCTTTACAATTCATGGAGTGATTGTTTTTAAATTTGTTTGTTCTATTGCAGAAAGTAATGAAATAGGCTGTCTTGCTGGGATTCAACCCTGTTGTCCAGACAACAATATGGGTAAGAATTTATCATTTTCACTGAACTTTGGTTGCAATTTATGGATTCTTGTTTTCTGATCCGAATAGCGACTGGAAGATGTGCACTGCAGATTAATTGTGTTATGGCATACACAATGAACACACTGTCGGCTCTGTGGCTAAGTCGATGCCGGGATACCGGGTTCGATCCCAGCTGCGGGCCATGCGCATTGCGTTGGTTTTGACAGTGGTATCACTGGGCTGACCGTCCAGAAAGCAATGGCAAACTACTGGACGTAAATTTGCCTAGAAAAACCACACAACAGACAGGGGCCTGTAAATGATACGCAACTAACCTATGAACACACTAATGCAGCAAAAACAACATACTGTGTGGCTTTTGCATCAGTATTGTAAAAAATACAGAGAGAAATGTTTGTTATGGGAAAAAGCAATAACTAAAGAGTGGAAGTAGCTTTAGAAGCTACAACTCATGGAGAAGACCTTTAGAGCCAGTGACTACAAAGGGGAGATAACAAATCAAGCAAATACTACAGAATGAAAGGAACTTTTCAAACTCAGACTCACGACTCTAATGACGCTAGTACTGATTCAGAAGCAGCCTAACAGTCATGTATTTACTATGGGATGTATCTATGACTGGATTATATTGACATAATTTCAGTTAAAAGATTACAGCTATTATTATTCCCAGAAACGAAATTGTTTTATTTCAGTTTGCCTTTACTTGTGCTAACACACTTGTTCACTTCACCATATTAATCACAATCAAGTTAATCTGCCCTAAAATGGGACACCATTTTTTTTTTTTTTTTTATTTCAAAGCCCCACTATGGCTGTCATCAGGAACCCTAAATTTAACTTAATGGTTGCATGGATTTTCTGGGACTTGGCCTTAGCAATTCTCATCCAAATGGTGGCTCTTGATGTCACTGGGTGTTTAACCATGGTTGTTGATCCAGGTGGGGTTGAACGTCGGTCAGTCACTAAGGGCTTTCAGTCTATTCCTCTATTTGGGTAAACCCTGTTCAATCTTCTCAATATCATGTATGGACCTCGGTCCATCATCCTTGAGCTCTCTCCAGCATCCTTGGCCTCTCTCATCAATATTTCTCTAAGAGCTTGCTTCTCTTGCACTTCCTTGTGTCCTCAGTCGATTGATTTTCCATTTCAGTGTGTGGCTAATGGTTCTCTGCTTCTCCTCAGAATGTGCCCAATATATTACCATCTTTTTAGTCTTACAATTGTTGATTCCAACGGTTGTCCTGACATTTATGTTATTTTGTTACATTAGCACTGCTTCAAAAAACTAACTGATAATTTTATCCAATAACAAGTATTGTCTCTTTGCAGTGGTGGTAGAGAACAGCTGTGACCCTAGAGCTTACTGTCCTCCCAAATGTACTTGTACGGGGACCGTAGTGAGATGTAGTCACCAGCAGCTGACAGAAATCCCTAAATACATCCCCATAGACACAACAGAACTGTAAGTAATCACCTGAGTGTGTCCATGTCTGTTTACTTCATCAAGTTGTTTCTTGCTCTAATATGGTATACTAGTCTGAAATGTAATACTCTAGTAGGAAATGGTAGACTTTCACATAAAAGGTAACTATTTGCTATTTTCATAGTAGACTCTAGGATGTGAACTGTTAGGTCTTTATGTATTCTAGGTAGCACTTACTTGACTGGCATGGGCAGGTGATCAGCCTACACCTCAGGACAGGGCATACCAACCTTAACAAGTACAGGCTTGGTTAAATATTGTGCAAGTGTGGGCTGTGAATGCAAACTGTAGAACATGAACTGCAAGAATGTCCCTTGTACATCCATTAGGAAGGGAATACTGGCCCACTGAGTCAATACTATTTACAAAGTTGGTTGGAACTCAAAGGGAATATCTAAAAACAGTCAACTTTTATCACAAGAACTTCTCTGTCTGTGTGAATCAGAAAGCGATCACAAGAAGGAGAAGAACGTATTCTAGGTCATGAGGTAACAAGTTTGAGTTTGTCTGAGGAAGATACTGGGGGTGTATGCTGTGAGGTTCCCTTAAAGTGGGAGAGCATCTGCCTGAGAGGCATTCCTTTGAAGTCAGAGTACATCTGCCAGAGAGGCATTCTTTTGAAGTCAGAGTGCATCGACCTGAGAAGCAAGGAACCAACAGTCTGGATTTTGTTTTAAATGCTAGATCTGCACAATGGATGTGCAATCAAAACTCAAGTTCTAGATCAAGACCAAAGTCTAGGAGTGAATGAGCAGCCAGAACTGTCCGCTGCAGTTTATTGCTGATGAATGCTGGCATAGAGAAGAAGATTAAATTGTCCTAAATTGTCTAACTCTTCACAAGTCAGAAATGCCTAAAATATGTTTTTTCAGATATGTTGATGTGAATGAAATAGCTAAAGTACCTTTTGATATTGGTCTCTTGACAAACATGAAAAGACTGTAAGTCTCACTGTCTGCTCTGCTACATAGCTTTTCGTATAGTCATAATCTATTTTGTGCGGTGGATGTGAGCTGCAATTTCTGTCTTTTAAACACATGATATTAGTGCACGGAAACTAACAGTTGTAATCAGTTTTAACATAATTGTGTAAGTAAATAACAGAATGCTGTATATAGACAGTTGTACTCAATACACAGTTTTTAAAAAAATAAAAAGACTAATACAGCACCGGATCCCAAAAAATATATCGGTGGAAGTGTGTGAAGTACTTAATTAGAAAAGATTCTGTAATACCAAAAAATTAAAAACCTTTAACCAGCAGTCATTTTATATAGACAAAGCTAGGTTTGATGTTATCTTTTTTTAAAAATAATATCAAGTGTGAGATATGTTTTTTTAAGCTGACGTGAATATATATTATTATTTCATTGTATCTTGTGATATTATTTATTATTGTAATAACTGAAAAGTATTTGATTTGATTTGCTTGACAACTGTTTCAGAGATCTGAGCCACAATAACATTACAACTCTTCCACCACAGATATTTTCCAATCTGACACAGTTATCAACTCTGTAAGTGATGTAATTTTGGTCAGTTATCATAATCCTATCTTGTCTAATCTTATATTGCAATCATTGTTTTAGTAAATACACAGCAATATGATGCAAGAAGCTTATTAGAGAATATACAATACCAAATGTGGAACTGATCATAAAGAAGGATTAAGTACATGACAATAAATCACTAAGGTACCTTTGAGGCCATTGTATAGTTTAAAAAAAAACAAATTGTAATGCACTGATTGACACAAGATGCAGTAGAAAGATACAGGCAGACAGGCTGTCTGGACATGGCTGCTAACATCTATACATATCTTTTTTTTTTGAGAAGTTCAGGGAAACATAACAAGTTTCTGAATTTTAACAGCTGATAGATTTTTTCTTTTTTATCGTCCACTCAATTTCATGCAGTCAGCTCTTAACTTCTCTGCACTCTTATGTATTCTTATTAGGGCTGTACTGAATATTCACTTCGGGGCCGAATAGTGGACCTAATATCTATTCGGTATTCAGCCAAATACTTGCGTTCGGGCCGAATATGAATAGTGGTTACCTTACACAAGTTTCTGCATACACTGCGATGGACTGAAATAACTCTCTCAATAACACAATAGGTGCAGCGGATTACATTTTGGCTTAAATTTTATATTGGAAAATGTGGTCTGTAAAATAGTAATTGTTAGCCTCGTCAAGTAAGCACTTATATCTAAAGGCAGTGCGATCATTTTTGTTGCTTGTGTGTGTGTGTGTGTGTGTCTGAGAGAGAGAGAGAGGGAGGGAGATCATGCATTTTTTGGTACTTTCAGGGTGTCTTTGCCCAAATCAAATTTGAAAATATTGCTAATGACAATATGAAGGTGCGTTTAAATTACATCACATGAACGGCCGAGCGAACGATGGTTTTGAAAGAGGCGGAATCCCGAAGACAACTAATCACAGACATCAGAAGGAGACAGTCATAATTTTTCGGTCATGGTATGAGAAGAGGGAAAAATGGAACATGTGGTGACCACTGGAAAGATCTGTGGAAGAAGGGATAAAGGAAGATAACGAGAGAAGATTCTTGACAGACTTGTTGCATTGGAGGTGTGTCACAGCACACGAACTAATACATACTGCAGGAGATTGCAAATTGTGGCGAGCCCTAATTCTTACACTATAATGAAGATGGATTACACTTTAAAATAGTATTATTTTTCACTGATTTTTTATGGAATATAAAGAAGCATAAGAATTGCAAGAGCTTGCCTCTGTGTGCACTTATTTCTGCTTTTTTCTTTCTTTGTTTAGCTTAACTTTTGTATTTTTTTATATACAGAATTCTTAGCTACAATAATTTGCAGTGCATTTCTGAAACAAGCTTCAACAACATGAAAAGTCTAAGAATTCTGTAAGTGTGTTTGATTACTGGAAATATTGTTATAGATCTGCCTGTGTTTTGTTAACTGTGATGTCTAAGAATTATGAAATCATTTCTTATTTGTTTGCATCTCCATGTTACACATAAATGAAAGGAACGACTTAATAAAGAAGAATATTAAGAACTATTATTGTTCAAAATTTCGAATATCTTGGGTCACTGGTTACCAACAATGGTGACACAATGAAAGAAATTAAACGGCGACTATCAATTGCTCTTCAAAGACTAAAACAACTGAATAAATTATGGAATTGTACAGATAGAATTACAAAGGTCAGATTTTTAAGAGCATGCATCTTTCCCATTGCAACATACGCCTGTGAGACCTGGACACTTACTAAACAAGCGGAACAGCGCATAAATGCATTTGAATATAAATGTTACAGACAGGTTCTAAGAATATCTTGGGTAAAGAAAAGAACAAATGCATCCATACTTCAAGAGCTGAATATTGAAGAGGGTTGGCTAGTAAAGACAATAAAAATAAAACAAAGAAAATTGAAATATTTTGGTCACTTGAAACGTCATGGAAGTCTAGAGAGAACAATAATGGAGGGGTATATGCCTGGGAAGAGAGGAAGAGGAAGGCCAAGGAGAAGATGGGTGCAGGATGTGGCAGATGATCTCCAGATGGGTGTATCAGACGCAGGACATCTTGCTCAGGATAGGAAGGTTTTCCGGAGGGTTGTTATGGCAGCGAGGTTCCGCGAGGGACATGCTACTGAATGAATGATTATTGTTCACAGGTCAGGTCTGCATCAGATATGATGGAATTACTGTATAACAGAAGTTAGTATTATTTGTTTTCTTTTAACGCTAAATATTGGGCAGCGGTCTAGGAGTGAAGCTCCAAAGGCAGGTGGACAAAGCACTGCTCTTTTTATCCGGCAGCTGTTGCAGCATGCCTTGTTCCAGATATATTGGTGTTACCTTTTCTTCAGAGTAAATAAACATGGTGTGCTGAAAGAGGCATCATCATGCACGAGCAGCACATAGTCTGCTGTACAGTACTGCACTGGCTTTTGTTCTATAGACTTTTCTCAATTCAAGCAGGCCTTGTCAGTCATATTCACCATTGCCATTCACATGACTTCCTGTAGCAGAGTATAACACTGTGGTCAGAAAAGATGGAAAGGTTCCAATAATTTAGAAAAATTATACATTGAAAGCAAATTTTCTATAAAAACAAAGCTTAAATTTATTTTAGTTCATAAAAATAACTTATATATTTAAGAAATCTTACAGGCTTACACATTTCTTCTATTATCTGTTCTCCATTTCAGATCATTGCACGAGAACAATTTATCATCAATTCCTTATGGTGCCTTCGATGGTCTCAAGTCATTATCTCACATGTAAGTAAAAGTAATAACCATTTTGTCAGAGTGAAGCTTATGTAAATTTGTTGACTGTTTCTATTTTTGTTTTCTTATTACTGAAGGTGGCCTCAGACATATACAATGTATGTAGCAGACATTACAAATTAATTTTAAGCAATATGTTGCACCATAATTGTTATGCAAGATTGCCCAGATTTTCCAAGTCAGAGGACATCTGGTCTACTAACAAATACTACAGGGCACTGGTTAAGACCTATGCTGTATACCAGATTAAACGCATGGCAAACATTGATCACTGAAGAAGAAGTGCCATAATAATGTTTAAAATGTACACACACATGTGCACACTTACACATGTGCAAACTTACACACACATGTGCACACTTACACACACTTGTGCTCACTTTCACACACATGTGCACACTTACCCATGTGCACATTTACACACATATGTGTACACTTACCCACACATGTGTACACTCACACACACATGTGCACACTTACACACATGTGTACACTTACAAACACATGCACACATTTACACATACATGTACACACTTACACACACATGTGCACACTTACATACACATGTGTACACTTACACACACATTTACACACTTACACACACATGTGCATACTTACACACATGTGCACACTTACACACACATGTGCACACTTACACACAAGCTATTTTGTAATTTTAGTCACCTAATTGGTTCATTTTCAGAGCTCTTGGAGGAAATCCATTGTTCTGTGACTGTAAATTGAAATGGCTGTCTGATTGGATCAAGAGAGATTACATTGAACCAGGGACCGCATCTTGCAGTGGGCCAGAGAAAATGAAATCCAAATTAATTCTGAGTTCACCGTCTGCATTTTTTGAGTGTTTGGGTGAGATCAGACATCACGCTTGTCCTTAAGAACAACTGTTTTTGCTGTCTGTAATTACCACATTTAGAATGGTATAGGTGGACTGGTTTTAAACCTGAGGTTTTGGGTTGCATGGCTAGCACACTTACCATTGATTAGATCTTGCAAATATGTCCACAGATTCTATGACAAAGCTGAAAATTAACACAGAACTCTGACACAGAACAGCAAGAAACAAAGGCTATTATTATTAGTAAAGTGGAGGATGTGATTAAGTCTATGTGAAATACCAATCATAATATGACCTGTGAAAGTACAGGACCTTTTTCCATGCCTCCAGGAATATTTGGTATATAGGGCTAGATCTATGTTTTTCTAGACCAGTCGGCACTCAGTGGGTGATGTGGTCAGGATCATGTCGGGTGTTTTTGCTTCTCAGAACTAAACATAGTACCAACTCAAGGCTGGGTCGACCTGGGAGCCAATGTCATATTTGAAAACAAAGTCTGGCTGGGTCAGGACCCAAAGCCATGACCTTCTGATCTGCAGCCAATTGTCTAGCAGCTACACCAGCTCCCTAATTTGACCTGTCCTAAACTAAACTAGCACATGTAAATTTTCTAAAAAGCACTTCAGAGGTGACTGAGGGGGGATGAGGATGCCCACAAGAAACCTTAATATAAACATTAATGAGGGAGGCCAAAGGTGCTGGACTGGTTTCCATCCATGATATGGAAACAATTATACAGGCTAGAATGGAGTGGAAAACTTAACTGCAAGCATTTCATGACATATAATGGCACATCAGGACAACAATAATGACTTCAGAAGACGCTAACCTAACAGAAATCTAAACAGCAGAACGGAAAAAAATAAATTTCAGTGACAATTTCTTATCCCATTGAACAAATGACTTTTGAGTTAACAATTACGTAGACAGCAGAAGCAGTATTTTAACAAATCAAGTAATCCTTATTAATTTTCTTACCCACATTTGTTTCTTCTTCTTCTTTTCTCAATGATACCAGGTTGTAGCCCACTGTCGTGGTTTCCTGTACTTGTCTTGCACTTTTCGGATGGCTTGGGTGATGAATTTTTTTAATTGTTTTGCAAGTTTTACTTCAGCTACACCATTTATCCATCTCTTTCTTGATCTTCCCATAACTTTTTTTTAATAGATGTTCTACTGTAAAAAAAAAATCTTTATGCAGTTTGATCTGTCTACCTTATGGCCAAACCATTTCATTCTTTGTCTGTGAGTATAATTCGAGCACAGTCTTATTCCAACTTTCTCCCTAATGCTGGTATTTATAACCCTGTCTCTTCTTGTGTTGTTAGTGACTTTACAGAGACAGCATATTTCACAGGTAGTTATCTTCTGT